ATAAAATTATATTAAATCAAAAATATTTTAAAAAATTTATAATTATATTTTTAAAATATAAAATTGTAAATTATATTTAATAAATTTTATTTGAACGTATAATTTTATTAAATAATATTTTATAAAGTGGGATAAAGGGATTATTATTTATTTATGTTAAGTTTTGAGGCCCAGTCCGCGCTTATAACATTTCTACTGTTAATTGTTGAAGCCATAAGTATGCCTGTTGCTGTGGTGTAGCGGTTATCACGTCAGTCTTACACACTGAAGGTCCCCAGTTCGATCCTGGGCAGCAACATTAAATTTCCTTTAAAGTATTTCTATTCATTTTGGTTGGGGGCTTTATGCTGTCAGGATCATCAACCTCCAATACAATTCCAGGTCCCCAAAAAAAAAAAAAAAAACAAATAAGAAAAAAAAACCTACAATGCAACTGTGTCTCGGACTTTTTGGTAATGGCATCTATAAATTGAAGATTCTTGGAAGAAGAATACAAGTGGAATTGTTGAATCTAGTGTAAAAGGATACGAATTACTTTTAAATTTCTGCTGAAAGAGATGTTTAGATTTAATAATTAAGTTAAAGTATATATTTAATTTTTAAATTTTATATAATATTTTATTTTAGTTCTTTAAATTTATAAATTATTTTTTAATATTTAATTCTAACATTGTTACTGGCAAACTTTTACATTGAATTTTTAAATATTAAAAAAATATTTTAAAATATTGACATATTAAAGTTAATTTTTTTAAAAAAATAATGATGGATACACAAAATAACATTTAAAACTAACGATGTTAGAATTAAATGATTAAAAAAATATTTTATAAAAGTATATTTTAACTTAATAGTTAATATTCAATTGTGTCAAACATGATTATACCTCCATGCTTCAATAGCTTGTGTGATTAAAAACAATAATAATATTTATTATTATTATTATTATTATTATTATTATTATTATTTGTTGAAGCTGACCAGGTCCAGGGGAAGAAATGTGATTTTTTAACAAGGTCAAAAGTTTAAATTTTATAAAGGAAAACACATTTTAAGAAAATTACTTCCAATTAAGTGCAATAATATTTTGAGGTTGATCCAATAATATATCAAATATGTTTTTTTAAATAATATGTCAAATATTAGATAAGAAAAATGATAATAAAATCTTTTCAAGTTATATAAATGACAATTTAATCATTCGAAATGTTATAATACTAATGAAGTTTTAAGAAACTTTTTTATCATTAAGAAGTTAATATAAATAATCAAATTATCTTTAGTTCAAATATCAATTGTCACTCACAAGTTTTGTTCTAAGATTCACAATTTTTTTTCTTAAAATTGCAAGAATTCAACAGTAATTCATAAGTTTGCATTTGAAATCATGATATCCTTCAAATGTTACAAATATCAATTCTCACTCATAAGTTTTATTTTAAGATTCACAATTTTTTTCTTAAAATCATAAGAATACAGTAGTAATTTGTAAGTTTACATTTGAAATCCTGAATTAAGGGCAATTTGATCATTTATATTGATTCCTTAATGGCAAAAAACTCTCTAAAAACTTTATTGATATTATGACATTTTGAAAGACTAAGTGATCATTTATATAATTTGAAAAGATTTTATTATCATTTTTCCTATTAGATAATCATTTCTAAAAAAAACATAAAAATTCTGCATTTAATTGAAGCTGTCTATTTCTTTATCCTTATTTCTCTACAAATTTCAGATTTAGATTCAATGAGTGTCTTAAATGTACTCGTTCAATAAATGTTTCAATTACAATCATTAGATTTCCCTTTCAAAAATTTAAAATTTGATATTTTTTAAATATCATATAATAAAATCATTGACAACCATTCTATTAAATGAAATTGTTGTCATCATACTATATAAAACACTAATTAAGTGAATGTATTTATAACACTTACCGAATCCAAACGAACAAATTTCTCTCGAGTGTTTATATTTTAAATGAAATAAAGCATTGAAATCTCGTACAATTTGATAATGAAGACAAACAAGTTTCCAACATCTTTTCCAAGTCCAAAACCAGCTGAAAGCATTGAAAACAAATGCAACACTTGGACGAAAAAAAGTTGGCATCCTATTGCTAGATTCCATGGACCTGACATATCTAGCCTACTTGTGAGAAATAGGCAAAACAAATGCATACTGCCTACGGTCCTATTTATAAATCATTTCTACCAATCTCATCAATATCAATACAATAAAAGTACAAGGAATAAAAGTAAGTAAAATTTCAAACATGCCCCTATATAACAAATCTAAAAAGTAATGTCCTGTTACTTTTTCTCTCTCATGAAGGGTAATTTTGGAAATACCTCTCAAATATTACCTAAAAAGACGCACCGTGACTTATAAATGGGACCAAATACACCTTCTAAAATTGGACTTATAAATGGGACCGGAGGGAGTACAATATTACATGAAAATGTGAATTAATAGTGCCAATATTAAATAATTATTATTTAAAAAAATTAATAATAAGGTGGTGGTTGATATTATAAAATGAAAAGGACCAACATAATTGGAATCCTATACAATCCCACCTTCCAAGATGAAGAAGACGACTAAATTAATTGCCAAAATCTTTCCTTTAGTCCAAAAGCAACCGAATTAAGTTTTGAAAAAAAAAAAAGCAACACTCAAACTTGGACCAAAAAGGAGCCATAATATTTGCTAGATTCCATGAATTTGGGTCCTACCAGTTCCCTATCCTACAATCATGGCATGCATGTCCTGGTTGGTTGCTGGGTTTGAAAGAATTGGAGGATAAGTTTTGATTTAGGGAGAAAGATAATTAGGTGTAAAAGATTAAATTAATGATAGTTAGGTTTTAATAATTTTTTTAAAAATAAATTGTAAATATAGATCCAAACAGTTACAAATAGAAATACATGTTATAATTTAAAAATTATATTTAATATTTAAATATTTATTTGTAATTGAAACTTTTGAATTTACAATTATCTAGATTGATATTTTTAACTTATTTTTTAAAAATTTATTGAGGATTTAATGATCATTAATTTATATTTTAAAATCTAACTATCATTTTTTATTTTTTTTGATAATGTTATTTAATTTAATAGTATTTTTTATCCACATTTTGAATTTTTTTCAGGATTAAAAGACAATTTTACTTTTAAACTTTTGGCATTTATCTGGAACTAAATTCATTTTTGATGTAATATTTTTATTTAACATTTAAAAAATATTGCAATGTCACCCCTACTATTAATTGATCAAAAAATTATAAAAAATGATATAAAAATTAAAAATAAGTACCACATAAAAATATAATTTTTGATCCTTTTATCTAATTTTTGATATTGATTAACTATCAAAGTTAATATTGGTTGGAGCAACATTACATCATTTTCAAATATTGAAACAAACATTGTGTCAAAAATAAGTTTAAGATCTCAAATGCTATTAGACATATAATTTAATGACAAAATTGTCATTTAATTTTTCTTATTATCATGTTTATCAATTTCACATACTACACTTTTGTTAATTATCGAGAAAACCCTCATTCTATATAGAGTGTGCTTCCAATCAAGTTATCACCTTGTTTGGAAGATGCACTGACCTCATACAATTTAAATTGTAGATTTAAAATATTACATTTACAATCTATGTATTTAAAATTTCTCGTTTAGATAGTATAATTTTTTATTTTAAAATTCTAATGTATCATTGAGAATGCGGAACCAAATGTCTAAACTCTAAACCACCTCACAGGAAAGAATATCCTCTCCCCTATCGCACCTGTCAAAGTCTAAAGCTGATATTTGAAATTTTAAAGAATCTTTACATTATATACATACATACATACTGACTTACATACATACATATAAATAAAGTGTGAAAGAGGTTACTGCTTATTCAACAGTGGTTTGAACAGTAAAATTTCCATAATTTTTTTGGTTTCCTTTTTCATTGTAATCTTTTTAATGGTTATTTTTTAAAATTTTTATTTTTATATGATTAAGAGAAGTTAAAAAAGTGTAGACCGATGATTAAAAATATAAATTTGGGACTCATAACAAAGGGTAGATATTTAATATGAGGTCATGGTAAAAAAGATAGGTTTAAACATTTTCTTAATTAAAATAAATTATACTATTTCCATTAAAAAATATTTTTAATCAAATTATATTTTCAATAAGTTAATTATTATCTTTTTTTTAATAAGAAGTTAGTTAATATATTTAAGTTAACATCAAAGTAATTTCTAAAAATAATTAAAAATATTTTTTTCAGATTTTGATTATTTTTAAAAGTTTAAACAAATATTATAAAATAGGTTTTTTTTAAAAATGATTTTTTTCCCAAAAATAAGGTGAAATAAACAACCCTAAATTGTTTTTAATTGATTATTCTTAGTCTTTCTCCTTATATTTTCTCTTTATTAAATTTTTATAACATCACTTATCATTTTTCAAAAAGGAGCTCATTAAAATCTTCTCCCCTTTTTTTTTTTTCATTCCATTATAATTTTTTTAAACTCAATGTGTTAATATCCTCGTGCATTACAAGGGTGTAAAATTTAGTTATAATAGCAAAATTCATTTGGATTCAGATCAAATTTAAATTTACAAATTTTTATTTACCTATATAATAGATTTGGCCCAAATCCAAACACAGCATAAACTTGATTTGAAATCAACATGCCAGCCGTGAACCTTGTGTATGCATTCATAAATGGTACAACTTTCAATAGTCGGCACAACTTAAAACTTGACAAACTTGACAAATTATGATAATTCTAAAGCATATGCATTGAATAGATTAATTCATTTATCTTAGATATTTGTAATTTATAGGTAACAACCAATAACAAAATATATAATTTTAGTATAACTAAACTCCTCAAATCTTATCTGATATCATGAGAACTTACATATATTTTTCTCTGGAAAACAAAAAAGCTATAACTAGTATACTTGGCAAGAACAATATCAGCATATATGCAAGATATTATTATCATCCTATCAACAATAAGCCCATAATAATACTGCACAATATCATCCTGTATATCATCACTGATGCATCAAACAAATGATGGCATTAAACTTATATCATGGATGACACATGTAAATACAATCCCATGATGTTTTATCACACAATGCTTAAAACTCAACCTCACAAGTTTATATCTTTACAAAATATACATTAGAATCTCCAAAATAATCTCAACGAGGGTGCTCAAAAGACGATGAGACATAAAACAAAACAGCAAAAGAGGAAAAATGAGATTCTGTTTAATGACTTATCTGCTTGCATCTCCTGTCTTCTCAGTCTCGGGCTGTTACTGCCCATCTGCTGATAAGAATTCCGGTAGGCGTATAGATTTTCCGGGTTGCCAAACACTCTGGCATAAACCATCCCAGCCACATGATGGTGAAATCCTTGAGGTGTAAGAGTGGTGCTGAGATTGAGCACTTGTGATGAGGAATCCTCATCCCTTTGGTACGGAGGCGAACTGAAATGTTGAGGACTGTAACGAGGACAGTGAAAAGGAAGATACTGATGATGACCACCCTGAGATGATGATGCTGACATCAGAGATTGAGCACTGAAAGCTCGTGGTCTTGGTGGTATACAAGTATCGTGACACGATGCCTTTGTGTCTTGCTCAGAAGGAGCTGGGGTTTGGCCCCGGCCATATAGGGGGACCATGGTGGCAAGAGATATATCAGCCCTGCAGACTGGGCATTGAGGGTGTTCATGAGATGCAAGAGAAGAACTTTGGACATGGAGCCACTTGAAGATGCAGGGCCAGCAATAGAGGTGACCACAGAGGGTGACTACAGGTTCAAGTGCAAAGTCCAAGCAAATGTTGCAATCAAAACAACCATTGTAGTTTCCAGTCTCTGTCATCACAGAACTTGGAGTGCTTTTCCATTCCTGAGAAATGTAGCGCTCAAAGGCCATATCATGAACACAGTTCTCAGAACTTTTGCCAACAGTGCTCCTTTAACCCTGGAATGCACAATAGACTCAACCACCTTAGTAAGATAATTATTGAATTTAGTTTGAGGTAAGGGCTTTGTGTTCATATTTACAGTAAAATTGAAGAAACATCAGTAGAACATGAAAGTAGATATTCAGATTTAGGAACAAGACACAAACTGACGATGATATATTGATTTTGAACTCCTAAGATGTTATGTGCAACTGGCTATCTATGTTAACGTGGGTGACTTGCAACAAATTCAAGGCAGACACATGGAGTGACTTAATCAACCAAGAACCAGCCGCATACACGCCTCAACAATCTGACAATTATTTGAAGAAAACAAATCATGATGATTGAATATCTATGTTAACGTGGGTGACTTGCAACAAATTCAAAGCAGACACATGGAGTGACTCAATCAAGCAAGAACCAGCTGCATACACGCCTCAACAATCTGACAATTATTTGAAGAAAACAATCATGAAGATTGAATATCTATGTTAACGTGGGTGACTTGCAACAAATTCAAGGCAGACACATGGAGTGACTTAATCAAGCAAGAACAAGCTGCATACACGCCTCAACAATCTGACAATTATTTGAAGAAAACAAATCATGAAGATTGAATATTGGGATTTTGAATAATGTATCATGCACTTTTGATGAGACTAAAGGTCCACATATTCCTTCATCAATTATCTCTCCTTATTAAACAAACCGTTAATTCCAATTTCACCTTCCCAATGTCATCAAAGTGAAGCTATCAAAAGACAATATAGAATACATAATAAGTTCCACTATTCATAAGTCATCAACATTACGACTCATTCATCAAAATTCATACCATGCGCATAGGCCCACCTAGTTTTCAAGAAAACTATATTTTCCCATTGCGATTTAGTACCTCTGATCAAACTAAATAGAATGTTTGTAAATCTAAGGTTAAAAATGCCAGCCTATATTAGGGAAAAGTCATTATCATTACTCTACCAGGAGAAATAAATATATTATGCAGCTTTCAGCGTTAACAACCCTACAGGAACCACGTGTCTAAACGGATGCAAAACAAGAGTCCTGGTCTTAAGATTACTACTGACAAGCAACAGCTAGAACGTGGGTCATCTAAAGCAAAAGAGCCTACTAATTCTGAGAAATAAACCTAATAAAAGATTCTTAACAGACATAATCAAAGGAATGCTTTTTCCAAATGTTTGAATATCAGTAATTGAACAAGTTGTGAACAAATGAAGAAAGTTCAATTCAATGATGCAGTAAGTTGCTTACAAACAAATGCCATAAGAAAAAAAGAAGAAAAATAGAGTCAGTCTTGATGTACAATGCAATCCAAGGTAGCTGTTAATTGATTAGAAAATCTTCCTAGCCAGACCAAACAAGGATTGATGATAGATGACTTTAAAACGTGGCTTGCTCATAAGTACTAAAATATCACCATTACTCATCAAATCAAGTAAAACTAATTATAAAATTAGAGAAAGCTTATAATTCTGTGTCCCCAAGACCCAATTTTCTCTTCTCCATTAAGATAATCAATAGAAGCAGCATATTAGACGATTCAAACCCATAATTCTGACCAAGCACAGATATGTTGAAAAAGGCGCTCTACCAGTCCTGGATAGATATCCCGTACAAATTTGGCCATGATATGGGTGTAAATGCATCAACAAATTTCATTGCTGGGTGAGCTTCAGAATGTGCCAAAATGCACCGAATGAAATGTAATCATTTTCATTATGAAACCCCTAACTTTCCCCAGTGAGCTTTTTCTTTTTTTTCCCTTAAGAGCTCTTTCTCTTTCTTGTCTTCGTCCTTGAGTGAGTTGAACAAAGCTTGGATCTTCCTTTTGTTCTGTCTTTGTCTTTTTTTGGTCTATGCCTGTTAGTGAAACTTACTTCCAAATTACGAGCCTTTCTTCATTTTGGTCTGTGAAAGAAGCTTGCTAAATCATCTATTTGCTTGGAAGCTTCAATGTTTGTCTGTTTGCTCCTATTCATCAATCATCAGTTGTTGCTTATAAAACACAGTTGCTTAATTCAAGTTCCATTGTAAGTTTTACTGTTTAATGCGTTGCGCGCGCGCGCACACACACATATCTAACAGACACACATTATACTTATATGCTAACATTTTTTTTTTTATCCTGCATGTCTGTGGTGATGTTCCAAGTAGGTGTATTGTATCGCTGCTTTATATATTTTAATTTTTAAGAAGACAACCTAATTATCGGACAAGAGTAAAAGACAGCAGTCCATATCTTCAATAAATGAAAGAACATTCTGTTTCTTATGGTCAGCTCTAGCCAATTCTAAATCACTGGACAAACTTATAGCAGATAGGAAAGCAAGAAGAGGGCAAACATACGCAGCACATAAGTGATTTCCATGCAATTACCAAACATTAGACGACAAGTGAACAATGACATAAACTAAAGAATCATTACAGATGCAAGGTAGATCAACCTCATAACAAGACCTCCCTGACTAGACGTAGATGCCATCTAATTCAGAACATATCCAATTGATTGATATTTATGAACCCAGCCAAATGTTGCCAAGATCTATCAATCAAGGAAATTCCTTCAAAATCAAATGAGAACAGTCACAGAGGACAAAAAATCCAGAGCATTGACCGTTTTTCATTCCCACAATCCAACTGAACAAATTAAGATGACAATAAAAAAAAAGTGAAGAAATGAACACACCCAGAAAGAAAAAATGAGAACAATCACAGAGGATAAAAAATCCAGAGCATTGAGCCGTCTTTCATTCCCACAATCTAACTGGACAAATTAAGATGACAATAAAAAAAAATGTGAAGAAATGAACACACCCAGAGAGAAGAGAGAGAGAGAAAGAGAGAGGAGAGATTTAGCTTTACGTTACGCAGGCTGAGAAACTTGTTGGGAGAAACTACGACGGCGATTCGGATAAAGACGGGTAACACGGAAGAAGATGACAGGGCGAAAGAGGGAAGAAGGTGAGGATTGGAGAGAAATGGAGGAGCGCGTCTTACGTTGGGGGTTTTTATAGAGAAAAATCAAATCCCCTTGATACGCACATAGATAGACTTCACTCAGCCGTTCTGAGGGCCCACCTCATTGTGACGTGGCACTGTATCACATCACATGCACTACCGGCGTCTGTTTCGGCGATCATCGTACAACGTCTAAGAATTTCTTGCATGTGCAGTGACATTACTAACATCTTAACAACTTTCTTTGGTGGGCTGGTCAAAAAACGTGTTTTTTTTTTCTTTTTCTTTGGTGGATTTTGTTTCCCGTACGTGCATTGCCTGTATCTATATACTTCCTCACATCTTATATATAAATAAAAAATAAAAATAACTGTTTATAAATTTTAAGAAAATTACTCTTTTCACCTAATTATATTTGAGATTGATTTTTTTTTTAATGAAATATTCCTGTAGTGATGTTTAAACTTCTATTTTTATATAAGTATAAGAAGTAGATTTTATTGATTTTAGAGGTGGTCTCTCTAATCTTTTAACTAAATTGCTATGGATACAAGAGTCAGAATTTGATCCCCAATCAATTGTTTAAGTGACAAGAATTCACCACTCACATCAATTTTAATTAATAGTAATATTTAAATTATATTCATTTTTTAAACAGAAAAGATGCCATTTTATTAATATTGAAAAGCAGATTTAATGACAAAAATTTATTAAAAACAATTGATTTGAACTATTGTCACTACTTTCAACTACTTATTTTTAAAAAAATTGATTTAAATTGAAACAAAAAGGCAAAATTAGACAGCTTTATTTACTACTAATCTCTCCATCTTAAATTATAAGATATTTTTAAATAAAATCTCACATACCAATAAACCTCATTAAATACCCTCAACAACCTTATTTTTTTAAAATAAAAATATAAACTTTTAAAAATATTCATCATTTAATATATTAAAAAGAGAAGGGATATAAATTAATTGTAGAAAAAAAGGATAATATTGAAATAAATTTACTTACTAAAACATTAATCTTCTTAAAAAATTTTATATTTTGGGAGGTTGAATCTTTTAAAAAAATGTTTATAATTTAGGACAGAGGGGTTATAATAGTTTTTACATAAATTTTAAACCACCAAAATTTAGTAGATTTTGTTTATATATGAGATTGGAGGGAATATTTAAAATATTTTCCAAAAAAAAAACTTATACGTATAATTTTTAATCACTAACTCAAAAATTATTTTTTTTCCTTCGATGGTATTTTACTATTTTTCATTTAACTATTTTAATATTTAAACCCATTTTTTGCATATAAATTGTTGGAATTACATTTGTCATAGCTCATAAATTTTTTTAAATTTTTTTATGATGAATATTGATATTTCTTTGAGCATGAGAGGACCTGTGAATACTAAAAGAAGGGTAAAATGCATCTTTAGTTTTTTAATTTTATATAAGATTTTATTTTAATATTTTAATTTTATGAAATGTTTTAGTATACTTTAACCCTAATACCTTTAATTTTATTCATAAAAAATTCTTACATTAAATTTTTAAATATTGATAAAATATTATTAAATGTTAACATATTAAATTTATTTTTTTAAAATAAGAAATATTGACAAAAAATGAATTAAAACTAACGATATTCAGATTAAACGATTGAAATAATATTTATTAAATTAAAATCTTATATAAAATTAAATAATAAATGAATGCTTTAACTTTAGAAGGATGTTGATATTCCTTACCCTAGGTGGAATTAAATTTTGAAGGTCGGTTGGCAGTTTTAATGTTGATATTTCTTACACGCTACGTGGAATTAAATAGTAGTAAATACTAACAGAAAAAATGCTGGTAAAAAAAATACTGACAGAAAAAATAAAAAATAAAAATTAAAAAAAAACTGTATTTTCCCTCCTCAATTGAACTCAAAAATATTTTACAGAGATGGCAGGGCAAAAGTTTCAAAAACCCAACGATCTGAGCGCGCTAAATTTCTTACAATATACAGACGTAAATGTTTTGAGTATCGCTGATAACTAAGGTGCCACGCTTCACTGAGCTTCGATTCATCAGCGATGTCTACAACCAAAATGGGAACCAGGAAACGATTATCCGAATCTGATCTCGCCAAATCGGACAAGAAAAAACAAGCTGGAGAGAATTTCGAGATCGATTTTGATCTCTCCGAGTTCGTATTCAGATAACAGTTTCCCTTCGTCTTTGATTTTTTTTTTTGGTTTGGAATTGTAGTCTGAAACATCTTAAGAAATTCGAATTATGCAAAACTTTGCAGTGATCTAAAAGGAATTATGTCTGCACTGCATCATATGCGAGAGAAGGCTCAGAAGGACGATCAGAAGAAGAACGAAGAGACAATAAGCAGGTATTACGATCCTTGTATCATACTTGAAGATTTTGTCACACCATGATAAATGAAGTATTTAGTGTTCGGAATGTGAATGCGTTTTTGTGCGATCTAGCTTGTGGTCTTGAACAGTGGGATTGAGAAATCAAAGAAGCTGTAAAATTATCTGGCATTCGAATGGTTACTAAATTCTGTTTTAATCCTATAATTTCGATTTCCAGAAATGTGCTTCTTAATTCTTATAGACTTCAAGTTTCACAAACTTAAAATAGAAAGATTGAGATTGAACAATGCAAGTTCCGCTGCTGAGGCTTTGTGGTGCTTTCTGCAGCGTAGCAGCTGAGATCAAGTCTATGATTGAGGAATTGAAGTCCAAACTTGAGAAGGATAGGTAAACTTGAGGCCATCTAATTCCAAATTCAGTGATAGACATCCCGAATCTCTTTTAGCCATATCGACTTATGGAGTCCTGTTTCATCGCACTAACCAATGATTCTGTTTTCGTTCTTTTTCAGACAAAGTTTTGCTAAGGCACTTTCAAAGAGTTCCAAAGACGTATGTGATAATTGCTAACAACCAATATGATTACTTTAAGCCATACGAAAGGAATTACGTATTACCCGGTATTCGTTTTTTTTTTTTCTGTTTGTTATCTTGCAGTGTGAGAATTCCTTGAAGGATGAAACCGCGAAGTTTCAATCACTATACGAGAAATTTTCCAAGGAGAAAGCGACCCATCTACAGGCCTTGAAAGGTACTTCTAGTACTGTCATCATCAACAGCTCTAACATGACCTGTTTGAGTTTCCACCGTCCTTTGAAAGACAGAAATGTGCCGGAGCTGAAACGTCTACCGTTTTAATCCGCTGTGAAAAGCAATTGCATTTATAACGTTCAAGCAGAGATAATAAATAAAGGTGACAACTACCAAGGAACCGCTTCGGATCTATAATTAAAACACTGGAACTCTTGATAAAGATTGAAGCTTATTTTGTCATGTGCTCGATATTGCAAGTCATAGTCTTGATACCAAGGTTAAATTAGGAATGTGAGGACCAGTCTTATTTTTGCATGTATGACGATCTGCTTATTTTGTCGTGAATCGGATCTATGTCGCCATCTAAATCTCCTTCACAGCAGAAAAAAGGATCAATTATGGTATTGGAATCACATTGATTATTTAATAAACTTACATGTATCAGTTTTCAGAAGGAAAGGGAGCGGATCTGATTATTCAAGTCATTACCTTGCAAAAATTTAACTGCATGGAGAGTTCATCATACCCATAATGAATCATTATCCCAGAAGCTCTCTTGGTTGCAGAATAATTTTGCATATAAATTAAGTTACCATGTAGTACTATTTGCTTGTTAGATTAATTGTTGCCTCTGTTTGCTAGATATTTTCTCTAAATTTGAGGAAGAGAAGGAAAAGCTGTTCTTGAGATACGAACAACTGAGTAAGCCATGAGACTTAATTCATCTTTCTAGTGAAAAACGAGAGTCAGGAGCCGGAAGCCACTACTTTATCGAATGACTTCTTTATGGATTTTTTCACTGTTTCAGGAAAGAAGGAAAGAAATATGATATCTGAACAAGAAAAGGCCTGTAATGATAGAATTGCCAAACTGGAGGAGTCCTTGAAAAAGAAGAAACAGGTATATTATGTATGCTAATAATAAGCATTGAGTTCTTGGGTTTGCAGCTGGTTTCCCTCCTACATCACGTTTATGCCTGCACAGCACAAAGCTCACTTTTCTTAGCAGAAACATTTGAACAATTCACTGTTATCACGCAGGATGATAAAACTTTCAGCATTTTGAGAAAAACTCTTGGTTCGTTTTTGGATAGTGCCTCAGATGAGGATTTTCCACCTGATGATTGAAGACTGCCACAATACTAGGGAAATCTTTGGTTCAGCCTCTGACTTGTTCGTTTTACTTGGATATGTAATTAGAGATAAACTTTAGACCGAACCATTTTTCTTTGTTAAATTCCTCCCACTTGCCATTAGATTCTGAATTTATAGTTCTCAGTAACGGAAATTCAATATCTTATACGTGCTTATTCAAAGACCTTTTCCGCCAGCAACTTTTGCTTTCGTGAAGAGAAAACTTGGTACAAACTTTGCATATTTGTCATTAGTTTTTTAATAACATGTTTTTTCAGATGAGTTCATCGTTTTGCGGTCTAATATTATACAATTAAGACATTTTTTAGTATGATAAAAGTTATTTTTATTTACTTAAATATGAAAAATAAACTTCCTTACTACATTTCTAATATCTCATCAAACTCACTTAAATTGTATCTCCACTTCTTGACATTCCGACATCCATAGCATTTTCAAAATTCAAACAACCAAATGGGCGCATAGGTTAGATATCAACTGAATAATGCATTCACAGATGTATGCGTTATGGATATCAAATATAAAATTTATAATATATATATATATATATTTTTTTTTTGGTTGAAAAAGTGATTGAGCACGCCAAGCTCAACTTGTTGGGAACTCTGCCTCTTACCCTTTAATTAACTAAATTTGTCATTTAATAAAATAAACTATTCACTTATTTAGGAGTTGTGCTAATAATTATAAATCTCGAATTCAAATATTAGGTATATACTCATTACGGGAGCTTGGCGTTCTAATGGTGCTTCATCTGAATTAATCACCAAATTTGAAGAACTCCGTATATTGAGTGTACATTTTTTTTGTTTTTTTTTTGGTGGGGGCAGATGAACAGTACACCATTTATTAATTTTTTGGAGTACAAGCTGACAACTACCAAAACAAACGAACGAAAACAAACCAAAGAAAAATCAGAAAGCCACAAGACACATCTTCTTATAATCCACCAACTCCCTACATAAAGTAGGGAATCATCAAAAGAGCAGAAGTCATAAGGAATGTCATGGGATATCTTAGCAAGACGGTGAGTTCTGACAAGAGTATTGAAATGAGATTTGCCAACTCCTCTTAAAAAAAGAGCCTTGCTAATTCAATGATATCACTGAAAAGATGGTTGGCATTAACTCCTAAAATAAGTTAGATGGCTTCAACACAGTGGAAATAAACTTCAAATCTTTGTAATCCCACTTGGGAGCAGAAATTAAGGCCCTCTATCATTGCGATAACTTCAGCTATAACTGTTGAAAAATCATTGGTCTTACAAGAAAAATTTTTAATCCATTCACCCTTACTATCTCTTATATAATCCCTCCTCTCCTTGTCCCATTTATTTTTCAAATTGTTTAAGTTTGCATATGTTGCCTGCCAAATATGTACTGATTTATAGGAGTTTCTAGACATTTAATATCCATTTGGAACCCTAACTTTTAACTTGGAAGTGCTTTTGACACTTTAAAATTAAAAGCTGTTTGGATATAAGAAATGAGATGAAAGTGCCTTTATAAATGGATTAAGGGAAATACCTTGAATATAGATTTGCCCAATTTGATTTTTCCTAATTTTTAAGATGTGCTTTTGAATTGTGATCCTTTAATTTTGACTAAAGTGTACTTTTAATAATCTAATTTTGCATAAAATTATAGTTTGGTTCATTAATCTTATAAAGTTTATTTTCAGTCTTTTAACTTTATCAGTGTTAGTTTTAAATGATTATTGATAAAATAGCATTTAAAGATCACTGTACAATATTTACATCTCATAAGGATCAAATAATTTGATAATATCACTATAGCCCTCTGGTCTTTTTGACATATTAATTTTATAAGTGAAAAGACCAAAATGTCCTCATAGTTAAAAAGCAAAAGAAAAAAAGAAACCCCATCGTCACCAACACCAACCATCGGACCTCTGCCGATGTTGAGGTTGTCGAAGCCCCTATTGTCAGCAGTCAGTCTTTGGAGCTCCGACACCAACGACATTTTATTTTAGAATTGAGGTTTTTAAGTGACCAAAAGTGGGTTTGATTCCATAACCCTTGGCCACTTAAAAAGTTTGGCCGCTAAGCTTTTTAATATATATAGGATAAAAAACAATATAAGTAATAAACTGAGCACAACTACTTTCATGTAATAACTTAATGTGTGCTGTTAATTTCTGAATGAAACTTGTTATTTTACAAATGTCACTTGTTAATCGGACATGGACAATTAAAAATTGGGGGCTTCAAAATTTCAATTATTTTTCTTATTAAACGTCTAAATATCTTATTGTCAATTACGAATAGATTTTGTCAAAATCAAACAAATACTTGTCAGTAAACGACTAACACGCACAACTAAACTCTTGTTATTATTTTTTCTAACTTATTAAAATCACAATAGATTTTTGTTAATTTTAATGAATTAGTGTTATTTTACAAATGTCGCTTATTAATCTAACATTGATAATTACAAATTAGGGGCTTCAAAACTTCACTTATTTTAATTGTTAAACATCTTAATGTCTGATTGTCAATCACAAATAAATTGTTGTAAGAATTAAAATGAATATTTATCAGTGAAAGACTAACACACACAATTATAATATGAATACTTATCATTTTAAAAATTAAAATGTATCAGAAGTTTATTTGGAATCTCCATCTATAGCTCTGAAGTCTATCTTTATATTTTGGATTCAGTAAAGTTTAAAGGATATATGTGGAGAGAGTACGTACATAACCATGGGACCCAGTCCATTCTCCACTCAAATTAACAACATTTCCTCGTCTTGCTTAGCGTCATCCTCATGTTTTCCTTCCCTTGCGCTTTTGCTCTTGCTGCTATCTGTAGCATGAATTTCATCTGATAGTCAAATCGGAACGACGAGCCTCTGACTCTGAGTCGCTAAAGAGAGAAAATGACCTGTGCAGGCGTTGCCTTCACCACTCATTTGTGTTCGGCTTTAATTCCCAATTCTTATTCTAGGCGACGACCTACCCTTCAGCTTTCGACTCGTTCATCTGCAGGTTTACTCATTCGTTGCTCCACTTCTAGTTCAGAGGCTACTCCAGGTGAGATAATGAGTTTCTATCATTGTACACAGAAAATTGCTGATGTAATGATGCTATATATATATATATATGAGCCGATGGAAGGGAGTTTATTAATGATTAGCAAGTTTTCTTGTTGAAATTGAAGTTGCTGGAAAAGATTAGGGGTTCAGTTGTGAAAGATTAAATTCTTATTGGTATAATTTTACATTGTGGATTTAATTGCATGAACACTATAGTTAAGATTAAAGAGGACTGCTTTTGTTATATGTCTTGTTGACCTTTTCTGCTAGTTAAAATTAAGGACCTTGATAGTCACATTTGAGTCTGTCATTGTTATATGTTTTTTGTTAGCCTTTTTTTATTACTCACGTTTTTGTTGTAAGTCTTTTTAATTTGAATAATTTTGAAACGTAGCACAAGTTAAATGTTTGATTTGTTTCCACAAGCTTTTCCGTGGGGCTAAATTCATAAAGGTAGGGGAAAACATGTGCATTTTCAATGTAATTCTTCTACTTATAATTGAGTTGAGTTTCGTTTTTATGGCGTCTTAATGCAGAGAAACTTGTAACTGTTGATGGTTTTCCTCTGACCGGTGGTGCATACGATTTCTCACAAGCAACAATTTCACTAACTAACGAGCCAATCTCTTCATCGAAGACGGTAATTCTTATAAGGCATGGTCTTAGCACTTGGAATGCAGAAAGCAGGATTCAGGTTTGCCATTCTTCTTAAATCTGATCTTTTCAGCCTCCAGAAGGTATGGATATTAGCGATAGTGTAATTATATAGTTCTACCCCCTTCATGTCTTTTGTTGGAATGTTTATAGATCACTTAAACTGTTTCAATAACTGTTCAATGTTTAAAATAACACTTCTGTTATTTAAGTACTTGTAACTACTTTAGTAATATGAACTTATTTAGCTTAAGGGGCTAGTTCCTTACAATATAATGAATTAAGATTTGAATTCCTACTGAAAGAAGTGTCCACATTTAATAGATTGTTTCCAATAGAAGAATACATGTGTGCAAGGAAAAAAAAAAGAAAAACTTTATATATATATATATATATATATATTTTTTTTTTTGCACATCAGACGCTATCCCTCCATTGTATCCTACATAGTATCATTAAATTGCTGATACATCCCCAGGGAAGCTCAGACTTATCGGTACTAACAGAAACTGGTGAGAAGCAAGCAGAGAGGTGCAAGAAAGCCTTGGAAAATATATATTTTGATCAGTGCTTCTCAAGCCCAATATCTCGTGCCAAGGTTAGGGACCAGGGAAACTTTATTCTAGAGGCTCTAATATTGATTTTCATTTTACTAAAAATGTTTGGGGTTTTGATATAGCAAACTGCTGAGATCATGTGGGAAGGGAGGGAGAAGCCACTTGTTTACCTTGATTCACTCAAGGAGTTGTGTCTATATCATCTAGAAGGCGTGACAAATGGTAAGATTTCTCTGTTCAATTGAAAATGTTCAACAACTTCACTTTATAGTAATTTTATGCCAGCACTCCTTTCCTGCAAAAGTTAATGCTGCTGAGTGTAGTAGTCTCGTAAAATGCTATTACATATGATCTGTATGTCACTGTTGGATACAACCTATATTCTTTTCTACAATTTTTAAGCATAAACTGAAACAGTATGTTCCTGGCCTGGAGGCAGCGGATGCTAAGAAAATATATCCAGAAGAGTATACAACCTGGAGAGAAGATCCAGCAAATTTTTTCATAAATGGTACATATCCTCTAAGAGATCTCTGGATATCTGCAAGAAATGCTTGGAAGGAAATCTTATTGACGCCTGTAAAAATCTTCTCCTTGCCAGTTGTCATTTACTTTAGCAAGTAAAATTTTTCTGAACAACATCTAAGGTTTTTTTTTCCCCTCATTTATCAGGGAGAAAGCTTTCTTGTTGTGACTCACAAATCTATATTGAGAGCATTGACTTGCACTGCCTTAGGTCTGGGCACGGAGAGGTGAGTTTTGTTAATGTTGTGATCTCAAATTTACATGATCTGGAATGCACTTAAGATGTACTGATTATTCTCCTAGTGTTGAAAGAAGTAGAAAGTTTTAGCTTTGTCAGGTAGTGTCAAAGCTTTCTTGTTATCGTTGTTGACTACAGTAAATTCTGCAAGCAAAATATTATTTTTGGGTATTGTTTGGATAGAGCACAATAACATTGTATAATCCATGTTCCCAACCTCACCTAGTGGAATAAAACTTATTACATTGTTTGGATTGATGAGAATGGAGAAGGAGGATCTGATTCAAATCAAAATTAGACCTCTCATTTTCCTCCATTCTTTGGATTTTGTGCGGGTAGAAATTCACTACAAAGTTATGTTCTATCCTTAAAATTACTTCGGTTATTAGATATTTTGTTCAATTCTGTATGTCAAAAAGAGGGGTCGTTTCCACCTCTTTCCTTGGTGAGTTGGTGTATAGAGAAGAATCTCAACACCTTTTTTCATGTTGTTTTATTCTACTTGGTTAACAGTTTAGGTCCCACTAGTGATCGATTAATTGAAACAAATCAGTCATTTCAATGATAACTTAGATGATTATACTCTTAAGAATAAAATCTCAAATGTACATTGGTTAATATGGAGCGATGAACCTTTATCTCCTGAGAAGGGGATTTAGTTTTGAGAGAAACCTAACTTCATCTTTAACCGTGACACCCAAAAAGAACCAAACAACTGAAAAAAAAAAAAAAGAACAAAACTATAGCAGCTAGTTTGAAATGTCAAAACCTCTTGCATGTGCATGTTAAACAACTTTCAGATGCTTCCTTTCCATGAAGTAGCTAGCTTCTTGATATTGATCTTGAATCTTGATATACAGGTTTCGTCAACTTGATATCAACAATGGCGGGATATGCAAGCTCAGCTTCAATGTCAGAGGTGAAGCCATGCTTCAGGCTTTGAACATGACGGCTCACATGTACAGTGATCATGTCTATCCTTCTAACTGAAGCTTCTTAAAGTGAACTCAACGGTGATGACACGTACAAGATGTGACACAGCTATATATCACATACTCAAAATGTTCACGTTTTAACGATGCCACATCCAAGGGAGGTAAATCCAGCCATTAAAAGAGGTAAGTCGATTCTTTCTGCAGTGAGAGACTGATTAGAGCAACCAAAAATACGTGGGAGCCATTTCTACCCATTTGACAGTTGACACAGACCCAGTGGAATTGAAGTACAATTTGTGCACTTGTTAATGTAAATTCCTTTGCTGGCTGTTGAGTCATGAGTGTATTGAATTTGTTCCATGACTTCTTTCTTTTGCAAGACATGATAAAAATTTTTATTGCTGCAGTAGCTGGCTGTGTTAGAATGGGACCAAAGTTCATAATGGGTGCGGGGCAGAATTCTGTCACTTGCGAACGTCAGTGAACTCAATTAATATCCATTGAAATGTCCATTTAGTTGAAGTTAAAAAAAATATGAATTCTAATTTTTTTTTGTTTGTTATGTCAAAAACTTCAACAAACTCAATTAATATCCAAACTCAATTAATGTCCATTGAAGTGCCAATACTTTATCCTACTTTTACGGTTTTACCATCTTCAAATCAAAAGAAGTTTTGACTTATTATTGCATATTTAATTTTTTAATTTTATATAATATTTCATATTAATTTCTTAATTTTATAAAGTATTTTTTTAATTCTTTTACTCTAGCACAGTCAGTTTCATCCTTATAAATGTTTATGTAGTACTTTTAAATATTGATAAAATATTATTAAATATTAATATGTTAAGTTTTATTTTTTAAAAATAATTATAATTGATATAAAAAATAATTATTTAAAATTAATAATGTTAGAGTTAAAAAATTTAAAAAAGTATTTTATAAAATTAAAAAATTAAATTAATTTTTTATATAAAATTAATAGTTTAAAAATATACTTTAATCATACTTGAAATCTTTTGTTATGGTCAAGCATGAATTATCATATTTAAGTATCTGTAAAAATGTTGTTAAATCAAACAAATGTAACAAACGACTGTGTCGTTCAACACATTAGCGCACGGTTTTTTCAAGGTCCCGCCATTTCCGACGGTGCTCGGCAACCTGAATGAAAGAAAATCGATTTCTTTAAATTGTCTTTCATGGCAAATTTTTCATGGAAGCCACACAATTGAAAGAAAAACCCCAAATTGCTGAAGGATCTTCACAGTCTGCAGAATATCGTGCTTTGCTTCGCGCAGGCCCGCGTCTCCGATTCCTCCGCCAAGCCCATGCCCATCTCGTCGTCACCGGCTGCCACCGGAGCCGAGCTCTCTTGACGAAGCTCATTATATTTGTTTGCACCGCCGGTTCAATTACCTACACTCGCCGTCTCTTCTACTCCGTTCCCGATCCTGATTCCTTCCTCTTCAATTCCCTCATCAAAGCCTCCTCCAAGTTCGGCTTTTCCCTCGATGCTATTATCTTCTATCGTCACATGCTACTGGCTGGTATCCCGCCTTCAACTTACACCTTCACGTCTGTGATCAAAGCTTGTGCTGATCTCTCGGCTCTGAGAGCTGGTAGAGCCATCCATACCCATGTTTTTGTCCATGGGCACGGGACTGATTCGTTTGTACAAGCTGCTCTGGTTACTTCCTATGCGAAATCTAGTAGTTTGGGTATGGCACGGTCGGTGTTCGATAAAATGCCGGATAGAACTATTGTAGCCTGGAACTCCATGATTTCGGGGTACGAACAAAACGGGCTTCCAAAGGAAGCATTAGCGCTATTTGACGAGATGCGTGCATTGAATATGAATCCTGATTCTGCAACTTTGGCTAGTGTATTGGCCGCTTGTTCTCAATTAGGATCTCTCAACTTGGGATGTTGGGTGCATGATTACGTCATTAGCAACAATATTGAAGTCAATGTGATTCTTGGTACCTCACTGATAAACATGTTTTCTCGATGTGGTGAAGTAAAAAGAGCACGGGAAGTGTTTGATAGTATGTCCAAACGAAATGTTATTGTGTGGACAGCCATGATTTCTGGGTATGGAATGCATGGTTATGGCGGTCAAGCTATGGAGCTTTTTGATCAAATGAAAGCATACGGGCCACCTCCAAATACAGTAACCTTCGTTGCAGTCTTATCGGCATGTGCCCACGCTGGACTTGTCCATGAAGGACAAAGAGTATTCACAAGCATCAAACAAGACTATGGTCTTGTCCCAGGAGTGGAGCACCATGTTTGTATGGTTGATATGCTTGGGCGAGCTGGGTTGCTCAACCAAGCATATCAGTTCATCAAACAACTACGTCAGAAAGATCTGGTTCCGGCGATATGGACGGCGATGCTGGGGGCCTGTAAGATGCACAAGAATCTTGATCTCGCAGTGGAAGTTGCAGAGCATCTCTTATATGCAGAGCCAGACAACCCTGGACATTATGTCTTGCTTTCTAACGTGTTTGCATCAGCTGGAAGAATGGACAGAGTGGAACTGGTCAGAAACATGATGATCCAGAGAGGCTTGAAGAAGCAAGTGGGATACAGCATCATAGATTTGAACAATAAATCTTACTTGTTCAGCATGGGTGATAAATCCCACCCAGAAGCGAATGAGATTTATCAGTATCTGGATGAGTTGATATTGAGGTGCAAGGGAGCAGGTTATCTTCCTGCTCCTGAATCGGCAATGCATGAGTTGGAAGAAGAAGAGAGGGAATATGCACTTAGGTATCACAGTGAGAAGCTTGCAGTAGCATTTGGTTTGATGAAGACAGGCCATGGCGTGACGCTGAGGATTGTGAAGAACCTTAGGATATGTGAAGACTGCCATTCAGCAATCAAGTTCATCTCAAATCTGACGAACAGGGAGATCATCATTAGGGACAAGCTTAGGTTCCATCATTTCAAAGATGGCTCGTGTTCTTGTTTGGATTATTGGTGAATGGTGACAGAATTCTTACCCGCTTGGAAATTGTTTAGTTATATGTATATATTTTTAAGACAAGATATGGAGTGAATGAGTTCTATATCGTCTATCTAAATCTTCTTTGGCTTGGTGAAGTAATTAATTATTCCAATCATTGTATGGACAACCGGACTAGCCAGGTCAACCCGTGAACTGATAAACCGGCCTTTCCACTGGTCTGATTTTTATCCTGACTTAGTCAATGAGTGACTCGATATGACTTAGCCTACTTAGGTTCAACTCGGCGTAAACTGGATAACCCGACAGGTTAGCTGAGTTAACTGGGTCACTTATTTTGCCCTTCAAAAACCCTAAAAGTTCCTATTTTGACCTTCAAAATTCCTTAAATATGATGTTTTGGGGGGTTTTTTTGAAAAAGAAAAAACTAAAAAAGCAACAAGGTGAGGCTTCGTTGGTTTTGTTTTTGAATTCTGAAATCAATTGATCAAACCCCACCCCTACCAACTCTGAACTCTCATCCCGAGCCTTAATTCAAATCGAACTCCACCCATTGGTCATCAACCATCATCGCTACTCGTTTTACCATTGTCGCTCTCTTGGGCTTCTAGCTTTTTTAGTTTAAACTCTATCTCTCCTATCGTGTAGCAGAAGTGCAAAACTCACCGTGATCATGATCCATAACTCGTGTCGCTTTTGGCCATGCTTTCTCTTACAGTGAAGCAAAACTTGCTGTGAAGCAGAACTCATTGTAACGTTGCTATCCTTTCTCTCTCTCAATGAATCTCCTTGTTGTCTAGTCATTAGTGTCCTAATTTCTATGCCTCTTCCTTCTTTGCATTTTTAATTCAAAATAAGTGATTTCTACATTATTTGTTGTTATTAATTTGTTTATTGTTGCTTACCTTTTCTGATTGTTTTTGTCTATTGTTATTTTTTTATTATTGTTAGACTTTTGAGTGGTTATATTTCTATAATCATTGTTATATTGGTATCTTGTATTAGAGATTAATTTTGGATTTGTTGAATATTTTTATAATTAATATCTTTTTATTTAAATTATATTATTTTAATTATGACCGGTTTATTATTGATTTTGACCCCCGATTCAAATACTAACTCATGACCTAGTGCATTGACCGATTCAATGATTGGTCCAGCTTTAAATACCTTGATTACAATCATTTTACTTTGATATTTTGAAGAAGTATTCTTTTGCCAAATAACAATGTAGATATACAATATTATTATTGAAAACTTATTTCTTTTAATATTTTTGCATTTAGAAACAAAATAAATATGGCTTGTTTGGAACTATTTCTGTTTTATTGTTTTGAAAATTAGTATTTTATAGATCAAGACTTGAGAATTAAAAAGAAAAAAGAAAAAACTTGCTTGAATCATTGTTTGATAAATTGTTCTCAGAGTAAAAGACCAAAAAAACTTGTTTGATTAACTTGTGTTATAAAACTAATATTGATATGATTTTTATAATTATTTAGTATCTAAATACCATTGTCATTAAATAATATTGAGAAAATTCTCTAATAAAAGAGGGTCATACCAAGCAAAACAATGACTAAAATGATTTAAATGTCACCACTGTTAAATAACATTTCATATTATTAAAACACTACCATTTCAATAGTGCCTATTACCCTTCAAGTAGCAAAATTGAATTGCGTGCATGCAACACAGTAGTCTTAGAGCAATACACCTCTAGTCCCACAACTACATGTAGAGTAGTGGATTGCCTCTATAACTATTAGTTGGTTAAAAAATAATTTATTATAAATATGGTTAGTACATCTATTGTTAATCTCTTCATCCTTTTTTGCACAATGCTACTTTCCTCTCTAATCTTGAATTCAAATGTCTCATTCTCTTTTTGAAAAACTTGCAGCACCCACTCTCTTGCATCCATTCAAATACACCAAAGCAACCAGGAAAAAAAAAGTTACATATATGCTCCATGTGGTTTCTCCAAGTTATAGGAAATATCCCAATATTTGGTATGCATCATTCAAAACTTTACTTTTAAGTCATGGCTCTAGCATTTCATTCTACAAAAACGCCAAAACTTTTACTAATTTCAACCCGTATTATCTTATATACTTAACCAATGGTTACGGTCTAGTTAGTATGTAGAGGAATGCATTAAATAAAAAAATTCTGTTTGATCAAATTTAGAGAACAAATTTGAGGTAGTTTGAAGAACAAGCATAAGAAAGTGAATCTAGTTCAAAAAATATTGTTGAAAATTCAGAGAACAAATTCTAGGTGGTTTGAAGAACAAATCTTATACATTCTATATTTTGCATTTAGAAAATTGTTTTTTAAATAATTTGTACAGGACAAATGGTATCTCAATTAATATCTCTATGATATTAGTGACCTTGATGTGCAGTATATAATGAAGGAACTTGAGAATGAATTTATTTGATCTGGATTTGAAATACTTGAATATGTTAAAAATGTCATATAACCAAGTTGCATTATAATAATACTTGGGTTTTTAGGTTTATTAGGGCAACACTTGAGTTGTTGAAAACTATTTTTTAAAAATTTTGAGTCAATTTAAATTTTTATCTTAAAAAATAAGATATTTGAAGCAGTATACACTGCACTGAACTTTTTTTTTTCCTCTACTTTTATTAATGTAATATCAAACATTAAAATAATAAAAATAAAAGAATATGAAGTAATCTCTTATACTTGTTTTTCATTGAAATTTAATTTATGAGTGTGAAATGTGTGAGCTCGGAGTTTAGGAGAAGATTTGTGAGTATTAAATGAAAGTTGAAGTAAATATTAACATTATTTTATCAATAAAAAATTAAATATTTGAATTAAATGTATTTAAATTTGAGCTTGATCTGAATTTTTTTAATCTTATACACGTTACAAGTGGGGAAAAACTTTCAAGCCTCAATTTAAAAAATCAGTTGGGAAATTAGATTCTGCACAAAGTAATGGGCCCACTCTCCTTTGTTTTGACAAGTCATCGAATAAAAAATGATGACCAATGATCATATTTTTAAGAGTTAAAGACTTGATACAATTATGATTTTTGAACATGAGAAGCATATTCACACTTTTTTAAAAAAGAGAGAGAGAGAGAGAGAGAGAGAGAGCTCTGTAACTCTTGTCACTATCACAAGTCCGCAACAAATCTGTCTTCTCTATTTGTTTATTTATGTATTTTATCAGATAAAATTGCCATAAAGGATAAAACTTTTTTAGGACACGAAGTGAGCGATCACAAACTGATAGCAAGTACTTTCGTTAATTTATTTTCAACTTTTTTTAGGTTCGGTCAGATAAATGAAGGAAAAGGTAAAAGCAGACTTGATGAAATTTGCTTCGCAAAGGTCAGGCATCAGGCTTTGGACAAAATATACCGATGAGATCCGTGTGTTGCATGGTCCCATTTCATAAGATTTGGATTTTTATGTTTTTTTTTATAAAAGAGCAATTATATTAATAAAGTAAAATGAAATTGACTTCAAATTTTTGTGAATTATTTTTTATTAATATTATTACTAATTAATTAATTAATTATCATTATTATTATTTCTTTTATTTTTTATTTCATTTATATTAATATTAATAAAAATTAAAAACGAAATTAAAATGAAAATTCATTTATTAGAAAATTCAGCATATAATTACAATAATGTAATATATTAATAATTAAAATAATTAATAATATTATTAACAAATTCAAATGTTGAATGTTTAATATTAAAAACAAAAACAGAAAAAACACGGTCTGTGATTTTTATTGTCAGTAGTACTATCGCAGAATAATTATGACAATAATAATTAATAATAAAAGCTTCCTGCTGCATGCCCAATAATGAAAAATGAGATTCTTTCGTAACTCGAAAATCGAGAAAAACATATGCTACAGAGCATTAGTATATTCCTCCTGACCAAAGAAATCTCCATCGTTCAAAAGAAAACTAAGATCATCATCATGAATTGAAGAACCACGTAATGTGAATAAAGTTATTCGAGACAGGACGGTTGAAAACGCTAGGTAGCGTGTGAATAATATATAAAATTAACTTTCTAACATAATAAGAATGGATAATTGCATTCAAGGCCATCGGAATTAAGATATTTGCAATGTCCATTTGATTCTAAATTTTTTTTACAAGTTTAAAAACTTCATTTACAATTATATTTTTAACTGAAATGACAAAATTACCCCTCACATAACCAACTACAAGCTGACTCTACATTTTCTTCTCTTCTTCTTAATCCACCTCCACCTCCACCTCCACCTCCACCTCAATTTCCTTTGTCTTTGAACCTACTTGATCATTATAATTGTTTGATTTCTTGATGCTTTGCGAACTAAGTTGGCATCGGAATTCTTCTTCGATGTTGCTACCATATAGAATGAAGAAAACAAGAGATGGTGCTATGTGGAGAGTGGACAAGAGTAAAGGGAAAAAATGGTGCATTTCGTAGAGTGAAAAGTCAACACAAAGCGAGGGAGTACCTACGATGCCAAAGAAAAAGAAGCGGAAGCAGATGCCAAAGGAAAAGAAATGGAAAGTCTTGCTTCCCAAGTGCAAGAGCCTTCAACTTAGGCTTGCCATCAAATAATGCTCATTTTCAGGTTGTAACATAGGGTGCATGTAAAATGAATTTTTTGTTGTAAAAAAAAATGCTTTGTATTGGTGTCAAAATCAAAATTGTTGTTGTGATTTGGTTGTTGATATAATTTAACTTGTTTGTTAAACTCTAAGTTGGTAGAGGATGTTCTGGAATGAATCATTTGTTGTGGAATTGAACAATCAAAATTTCATACTTTTGTCAGATCCTTCCTATCTCTTGATCAAGCTTGTGCAAGTAGACGTTGTTTGGCAGGGCTGATAGTAATACACTGTGTGGAATGGAGTAAGGGCCCTTCTCACCTCCTATGAGTAGTCTGGTGGAAAAGACTTTATGAATGGAGCAAAAGAACTCAGGATCTTCAATCTCTTTCTTAAAGATGGGGATGAGTCTATGTCAATTGATAGATTTATTTGTTCATATTAGATATTCACATGTGAATTTGGAAATTCATGACTTGTCCATTATTGTGAAAATATCCTGCTAGAAAAACTGGATTATGTATTGTGAAAATATGAACTTTGTTTTGTTTATATTGAATGTTTAGTTGTGAAAAATAAAAGTTGAGTTTTCGTATGTGAACCTTTTTTTATATTAATTTGTCCATTGCAGGTTCATACAATAGATGGCATGACAGATCTCAAGACTAGCATATCCTCATGCATGTGTTGCTATAAAGTTTTTGCATGGCAGTGTATATGGAGAAGAATCAAGGATTATGCAAAAAATTATCACACTCAAATGACACGTTAGTTGAAATTTGGAACAAGATGGTGGAGAGGAGATGGAGCCTAATAGCAGTAGCTAAAGGAAAACATGATAGGATGACCTTATTAATAGAAGCATTATAATGTAAATGCAATTAGAATTACTTTAGTATTGTGTTTGTGTTATCTTAAGTTTATTTTTTTGTATATAAAATTTCATTTTTGTAAATGGATGTAGTGCAGATGTTGTGATATATATTTGGAAAACATTTGTTGTGGTGTGATAGTTAAATTATTTTCAATGAAATGTACAATTTACTTATGTTAAATTTATAATAGAATATTCATAAATAATATCAATATTCATAAATAATATCAAAAGGTTCATATGTTAATAACATAAGGTTTGTATTTTATACATTATCCATGTAGTTTGGTAACCCAAGTTATCCAAGTGAAATTTATGGTAGAGCATCCATAAATAATATCAAAATTTTATATATTAACAATATAAAGTCCGTACTTATACATTATTCATGTTTTTGGTAGAACTAGAATATATAAGTTATTCTAGTAGAATTCACAACAATATATTTATAAATAATATGACAATGTTTATATATTAATAATGCAAGTTTCGTCTGTATCACACACTTAAACATTTGCGCACGTAATTACTTTTACATGGTTAACTTGTGGCTGTTGTGAGTCAGTTGTACGTCAATTTTCAACCTTGCAATACTCACTGGCAATTCTCACCTTTTTGCTTCACTCCTCCCATCCTTGGTTCAAGAATTTCCAAAGCTTTCTCGTTCTCCCACTTTGAATTCCTCTCAATTCCCATCAAATGTTTCTCTCACCCACCATTTGTAGGCTCATCTTCTGGCATTTCCCTCTACTTTGTTAATCATGCTATCAAAAGTTGTGCTCAGATTTAAATTAGGAATATTGACTATATTTGAAACTTAAAAACTATTGCCTCCTTGCGTTAAAAAAGAACATCTACTTTTGCATTGCATTATGATCCATGATTCCATCATTTTTCGTCTACTCCAATCTATAAGGATTCAATATCATATAATAGTGTCAGAAGTTGAACCAATTTGATTTGAAAAATTATGTAACTCCCACGTACTTCATAAATCGGTGAAAATTTGTTGCCTCATAGTAGTTTTGAATGTCTATATGCATAAAATTGACTTAAAAGTAGACAATTTCCTCATAACATTCCAAGATAAAGAATGGAGAGTGAGGAAGATAAGAAGAAAATATGTAGACAGGCAATAGTAGTTAATTATGTGAAAGGCAAGTTGGTTATTCCAGCAAGAAACATAATTATAAATGAGGTTCTTAATATGAATTTTTTTAAAAAATAATTAGATCTTATCTACAAATATCTTCATTTAAAGGGCTTTGAATGCAATTCTCCCTAATAAAAAAGTGCCAATAAAAAATAATAACGTGAATTACACAAAAACAAACGCCCTATGTCTAGGCATTTGAGCGTCATGACAACACCGCTTGCAATAACCAAATAAGCACGACTTGAACTTGAACAATGAACATGTACTGTTTTTTTACCCCATTTTCGAGCCAAAAATCAAAACCTCACTAATTAAAATTACGTAAAATAAACGTATGTGGTTACGTTTCTTTACTGGCTCACTCAAGACGCAACGCCAACATGGATGCCTTTGAGGATCAGGATCTTACAAGCTGATAATGGCGGACTCCTGGGTCCTACCTTTTGTCTCTTGATCTTTAGTGGGTCCCAGTTAAACTCCCACGTCCAAATATCCTGATTGGAGCGTGAATTACACATCCCGAGCTGCGAGCGCATCACCTAAATTATTCTTGCAAAGAAAAGTGAGCTCCAAAAAGGCACAGTTTTTTATTTTATATTTTTCAATGCCAGCTTTCGTCTGCTTCTCTCTCCCTCTCTCTCTCTCTCTCACTGCAAGCCTGCAACGTCTCGCTGGTCTCACTCACAGTCTTGTCATCACTGCAGCATCGTCTATCTTAAGGCTTTGTCCGGAGACGGTTTTAAGATGTTTGAAGAAATCAAGTAGCTTGGGAAGAATATGGGTTCCAAAACGCTATAAGAAGGATCACGAAATTTCTTTATTTCGCCCACCATGAATTTAAGACAGCGTCTTCCCACCAGGCGTGGCGGTGCGGGTGAGCACGCGCCTCCGCCGCCGCCTCTAGCGGGTTCAGTGTTCAACATTATACCTGTGCATGACCTCTTCATTGACCACCCCTCTCTTCGGTACCCAGAAGTGCGTGCTGCTGCTGCTGCTCTACGCACTGTAGGAGACCTTCCGAAGCCCCCTTTCGTGCCTTGGAGCTCTCACATGGACCTCCTCGACTTGCTCGGCGCCTTCTTTGGGTTTCAGAATGACAACGTACGGAACCAAAGGGAACATTTGGTCCTCCACCTTGCTAACATGCAGATGCGGCTTCAACCTCCCCCTACAATCGTCGATGCCCTGGACCCCGGCGTGCTACGTCGTTTCCAACGGAAGCTTCTTCATAATTACACTGCTTGGTGCTCTTATCTTGGATTAAAGTCAAACGTGTCACTGTCGAAACGACGAGACCCTACTGATCTCAGCCGTGAATTGCTGTACGTTTCGCTTTACCTTTTGATTTGGGGTGAGGCTGGAAATCTTCGCTTCGCTCCTGAATGTATTTGCTACATATATCATTTCATGGCGAAGGAACTTACTTACATTCTGGATGAGCACACAGACCCTGACACGGGTCGTCCGTTTTTGCCCTCAAGATCTGGTGATTGTGCCTTTTTGAAGTCAGTAGTAATGCCTATTTACGACACGATTAAGGCTGAGGTTGATAGTAGTAGAAATGGAAAGGCTCCGCATTCGGCATGGAGGAACTATGATGACATTAATGAATATTTCTGGAGTAGGAGGTGTTTGAAGAGATTAGGGTGGCCCATAGACCGTGAGTGTAATTTCTTTGCGACTACTCGAAAGAGCAATCGAGTAGGGAAGACTGGGTTTGTCGAGCAGAGGTCTTTCTGGAATGTCTATAAGAGCTTTGATAGGCTTTGGGTAATGCTCATCCTTTTCTTGCAGGCTTCCATTATTGTTGCTTGGGAGGGTACAAAATATCCGTGGGACGCATTGGAGAGAAGACATGTCCAGGTAGAGTTGTTGACTGTGTTTATCACATGGAGTGGTCTTAGGTTGCTTCAATCAGTGCTTGATGCTGGGACTCAATATAGTTTGGTTACAAGAGAGACTGTGTGGCTTGGGGTGAGGATGGTGCTGAAGAGCATGGCTGCCATTACGTGGACTGTTGTGTTTGGCGTGTTCTATGGAAGGATTTGGATGCAAAAGAATTCTGATAATATGTGGTCAGATGAGGCAAAACAGAGGATTATTACTTTTCTTAAGGTTGTCTTTTTCTTTCTTGTCCCAGAATTGTTGTCACTGGTACTATTTATTGTTCCACGGTTACGGAACTTCATTGAAGAATCAAACTGGAGGATAGTGTACGTGTGGACATGGTGGTTTTATTCCCGGATTTTTGTAGGCCGTGGTGTGAGAGAAGGGCTTGTAGATAATGTAAAGTACACTGTGTTCTGGATTTTGGTTTTAGCTTCAAAATTCTCTTTCAGTTATTTTGTTCAGATCAAGCCTCTAGCTGCTCCAACGAAGGCTCTTTTGAATCTTAGGGGTGTAAATTACAACTGGCATGAATTTTTCAGTAGCACCAACAGGACAGCAGTTATCTTGCTATGGTTACCTGTTGTTCTTATCTACTTCATGGATTTGCAGATTTGGTATTCAATTTTCTCTTCCTTTGTTGGTGCAACTATAGGGCTTCTCTCGCATTTGGGTGAAATTCGGAACATTGAACAACTCAGACTTAGATTTCAGTTCTTTGCCAGTGCATTGCAGTTCAATCTGATACCAGATGAGCAGCTGTTACGCCCACAATTACCATTGCTAAGGAAGCTCCGTGATGCTATCCATCGGTTGAGACTGCGATATGGGCTTGGTCAACCCTTTAAAAAGATTGAATCAAGCCAAGTGGATGCTACAAGGTTTGCCTTAATATGGAATGAGATTATCATAACATTCAGGGAGGAAGATCTCATCAGTGATAGGGAGCTTGAGCTCTTACAACTGCCACCAAATTGTTGGAGCATAAGGGTCATTCGCTGGCCATGTTGCCTTCTTTGCAATGAGCTACTACTTGCCCTCAGTCAGGCAAAAGAGCTGGAGAATGAGCTTGATTGGTCACTTTGGTTGAAGATATGCAAGAATGAGTATCGTCGTTGTGCTGTTATCGAAGCTTATGATAGCATCAAATTCTTGCTTTTTATGATTCTTAAAGATGGCACAGAAGAGTTCTCCATTGTGAATAACATATTCAGGGCCTTAGATAACTGCATTCAGGCTGGGAAGTTAACGGAAGTGTATATGATGTCTCGGCTTCCAGATATTCATGCTAAGTTGAGTGAATTTGTTCGGCTTCTAATGCAACCTAACAAAGATGTGAATGCAGCTGTAAATTTGTTGCAAGCCTTGTATGAATTGTTTGTTCGTGAATTCCCACGGGTGAAGAAGCATGCTCTTCAGTTGATAGAGGAAGGTCTAGCTCCACGCAGTTCAACAGCTAATGAAGGCTTGCTTTTTGTAAATGCTATTCAGTTTCCTGATGTTGGGGATGCAATATTAAGTATGCAGCTGAGACGACTGGACACAATTCTTACTTCGAGAGACTCCATGCACAATGTACCATTGAATCTTGAGGCAAGAAGGCGGATTGCTTTCTTTACCAATTCTTTGTTCATGAACATGCCTCGTGCCCCCTATGTTGAAAAAATGATGGCTTTTAGTGTTTTGACCCCATATTACAATGAAGATGTTATTTATGGCAAAGAGATGCTTAGGAGGGAGAATGAGGATGGCATCACTACTTTGTTTTATTTGCAGAAGATTTATGAAGATGAATGGAAAAATTTCCTAGAGCGGATGCATAGAGAGGGTATGGAGGAGGATGATGAAATTTGGACAACAAAAGCTATGGATCTTCGCCTCTGGGCATCTTATAGAGGTCAAACATTATCACGCACAGTGAGGGGGATGATGTATTATTATAGAGCCCTTAAGATGCTTGCCTTTCTTGATTCAGCATCTGAGATGGACATTAGGGAGGAATCACAAAATATTGGTTCACATGGCTCAACGAGGCAAAATAATGGTTTGGATAGCTTAAATTGGAATGGGCCTCCCTCTTTACGAAGTCTAAGGAGGGCAGATAGTGGTGTGGTCCCATTGTTCAGGGGGCATGAACATGGGAGTGCACTGATGAAGTTTACGTATGTGTTGGCTTGCGAAATTTATGGGCTGTACAAGGCAGTGAAAGATCATCGTGCTGAAGAGATTCTGTATTTGATGAAAAACAACGAGGCCCTTCGAGTGGCATATGTTGATGAGGTGTCTTTAGGGGGACATGAAACTGAATTTTACTCTGTTCTTGTGAAGTTTGATCAGCAGTTACAGAGGGAGGTGGAGATCTTTCGCATTAGGTTGCCAGGTCCCTTAAAACTTGGAGAAGGGAAACCAGAGAATCAGAACCATGCCATAATCTTTAGTCGGGGTGATGCAATTCAGACCATTGATATGAATCAAGACAATTATTTTGAAGAGGCTCTCAAAATGCGGAATCTGTTGCAGGAGTTTAATGCCTACTATGGTATTAGGAGGCCAACCATTTTGGGGGTTCGAGAGAATATTTTCACAGGATCCGTTTCCTCCCTTGCTTGGTTCATGTCTGCTCAGGAAACAAGTTTTGTGACATTGGGTCAACGTGTTCTAGCTAATCCTTTGAAAGTGAGAATGCATTATGGTCACCCAGATGTATTTGACAGATTCTGGTTCTTGGGTCGGGGTGGAGTGAGCAAGGCCTCTAGAGTGATCAACATCAGTGAAGATATTTTTGCTGGATTCAATTGCACCCTGCGAGGTGGCAATGTGACACATCATGAATATATACAGGTAGGCAAAGGAAGAGATGTTGGCTTGAATCAGATAGCGATGTTTGAGGCCAAGGTCTCTAGTGGCAATGGTGAACAGGTTCTGAGCAGAGACGTGTATCGGTTAGGCCATAGATTGGACTTCTTTCGCATGCTTTCAGTTTTCTACACAACTGTAGGTTTTTACTTCAACTCCATGATTGTAGTACTGACAGTGTATGCATTTCTATGGGGTCGTCTTTATATGGCTCTCAGTGGCATTGAGCGGGCAGTTAAGAATAATGCTTCTGCTACTAACAATGAAGCCCTTGGTGCTGTAATAAATCAGCAGTTTATCATCCAGCTTGGTCTTTTCACTGCACTCCCAATGATTGTTGAGAATACCCTTGAGCATGGGTTCCTTCCAGCAGTATGGGATTTCTTGACAATGCAGTTGCAACTTGCATCTTTGTTCTATACGTTTTCCCTGGGAACTCATACACACTTCTTTGGTCGGACTATTCTTCATGGCGGTGCAAAGTACCGAGCCACGGGACGCGGTTTTGTGGTTGAGCACAAGAGCTTTGCTGAGAACTATCGGCTTTATGCTCGGAGCCATTTTGTGAAGGCTATTGAACTTGGAGTTATTTTGATTGTGTACGCTTCTCATAGTCCCTTGAATAAGGATACTTATGTATTCATAGCAATGACAATCTCAAGTTGGTTTCTTGTAGTTTCATGGATAATGTCACCTTTTGTCTTCAATCCCTCTGGATTTGATTGGTTGAAGACTGTATATGACTTTGATGATTTCATGAATTGGATTTGGTATCCTGGTGGGGTGTTCAAAAAGGCAGAACAAAGCTGGGAAACATGGTGGTATGAAGAGCAAGAACATTTGAAAACAACTGGTATATGGGGAAAGCTATTGGAAATCATTTTAGATCTTCGTTTCTTCTTCTTTCAGTATGGCGTTGTGTACCAGCTGGGTATCGCAAATCGCAGTACCAGTATAGCTGTTTACTTGCTATCTTGGATATACTTGTTTGCGATTATTGGTATTTATATCATCATAGCTTATGCACGGGATAAATATGCTACAAAGGAGCACATATATTATCGGCTAGTTCAGCTTATTGTGATCGTGGTCACGATTCTTGTCATTGTTATATTTCTGAGGTTCACCCATTTTCAATTTATTGATCTTCTAACAAGCCTATTGGCATTCATTCCCACAGGCTGGGGAATGATTTTAATATCCCAAGTTCTCAGGCCTTTTCTTCAATCAACTGTCTTGTGGGATACTATTGTTTCCTTGGCTCGGATATATGATTTGTTGTTTGGGGTTATCGTTATGGCTCCTGTGGCGGTGCTCTCATGGCTGCCTGGATTTCAATCAATGCAAACTAGGATCCTCTTTAATGAAGCTTTCAGCAGGGGCCTCCAGATATCTCGAATTCTTACTGGCAAGAAGTCTGTTTAAGATGTGACTGGAGGTAAATTTTATATCGTGTGTTTAGTTATATGTTTAGTCTTCATCAACTGAAATTTTTTTTTGGGGGGGGGGGGTTGGGGAAGAGAGACCCTTATATAAATAGTTTGATACTTTGACTGAAGTCAACCTGTAGCATTTGAACTGTCAATTCTTGATATTAATTGCATCCTTTTTTCCCTTTAACCGTGATGGAGTGACTGGCAAGTTACTTATTGAAGCATTTTGCATTTAGAGGGTTAGCTGAACCATTCAGTTTTCTACGTAAAGTTGCTCCTATATTGTAAAATGCATGTATGGCTATTGTGATATGCTCATATATTATGGGCATGCAGTTATTTCTGCTGAGATGCATTTGTACATTGCCAGGTTGTGGATCCTGCAGGGGCCAGGGCCATAACTCATAAATGGAGGACGGACACTAATTTTAGACCCAAGTTTGAGGACCACCAGTACTGAAAGCTTTTACATTATCATGATGAATGGATGATTGCTGATAAATCCAAGTATGTACATATTAGAAGAGACAAATTGCTTTCTTAGCGCCACTTTGGTGCTATTTAAGTTACGTTAATCTTTTTGCTTCTTAGATGCTCCATATATACAATACATATGCCCCATATATCACCACTGTGGTATATTCACCTTTCACTTTAACTTAATTTCAGACAGTACAACATTCTGTACAGACCAATTTTAGTTGACTTGTGAGCTTGGATGTGCCAGTTTCTTTGTGTTATAATAATTTTAGCAACAGTACTCTGCTGGGATTCTTTCTCACTGCAACTATATTTTGCTATGCTTAATATGTTTCAGAGCATAGGAATAGAATAGTCAATGACTCAATGGTGGACAAGATGGTTTGAAAAATCAATATAAAGCCTGTTTACAACTGACCATGGCGACTGTTTAACTTCATTATTCTGTTAGATCAGAACTAATTTATATGCTACTCCAAATAGAATGAAGCTTGGTCTAGGTTTTGGTTGTAACTAGGTGGACTATGAGGGTATTCAGTTTCACGTTTCGAACATGAATTCAAAACATGTATTACGTTTGTGATTGTTTGCCAGGTTTTGAGCGTCCTGCGGTTATTGTAGTGACTCTCTTTACCCTTGGTAACTTCTGTCAGAAGAACGTTTGTTTCTACTAACGGCAATTGGCTGTATCATATGGACTTGTTCTTGGTAGAACGTTTAAATTTCTGATTGAAATTTTGCCATGATTTGCAGGTTATGTTCATAAAAAAACTGAGAAGTCTAGACCTCTTCTATACTTATGGCTTATGGATGTCACCTTGACAGTCAATCTGTAAAGAGGGGAGGCAGATCTTGATTTGTCCGCATGTTTTCCTGTTTCTGCTTCAGATGACTTATGTTTAGTATAGTGTGTATTAGAGGTGCATAAGATGATTTGCCTATTTATCATTAACTTAACGGACGACGTGCTGCACAACTTGTCCCTATCGATACCCTCTAACTACAAAGCGCTCACTAATTTTGCAGGCTCAAGGTTACTTTATTAGCATTTTGCTCCATCTAGTTTTGTAAAGCCTTGCCTTTTGGATGCTTTTGAATGTTCCATGTAATAGGAAACTGCCTTAATTTTCGTTTCCTCTAATGTAATTCAATTTGGGAGCTGCAATTTCTTATTAGCTGTTTTTTGGGCTTGCTCGAATGTATTTTGCACTCGAACATGCCTGTTTTATGCTCCATACAATCCCCACTAATTTTCTTGGCATAAGGTTACTTTATGGGCATCTTGCTCTGTTGCTTTCTAAACTCTTGCCAATGTACATCATTACATGTAAGGAAACCACCAAAAGTTCTCATTTCTCTCTTCTGACGTAATTTAAATTGAATTTCTTGGCTCAAGGTTACTTTATGAACATTTTACTCTGTTTCGCTTTTTCTGAGTTCACTAGTACATGTAAGGAATGAGTTTTCTCAATCTGCTGTAATTGCGTGCTTTCTGTTTCATGTTCTTGTTCAAGTACATGTTGCACTTGCCTGAAATGGTCGTCTTAATATTTTGCGTTGGTCACAACTATTTCGCCCCGAGAATGCGTTTCATGGACAACATTATGCTTTTTCTGTAGAACGATGGTACAACCGTTTTGTAGTATTGTTTGTGAAAAGCTGTAGAATTTAAAATCTCAAATGTCTGAAGGTACAGATATGGTATTGAGTTTAGGACTTCGGGGCCCTCTGAAAAATTGCAAGCAGGGAATTATTCAGAACAATACAATTTATATCACAAATCGTCATTACCAATAACAGGTACTTTCTCATAGGAAGAGCTTTCTCTGAATCTCATTGGAAGAATACACCGGCCGCCAAACTTCTGTTGAAGGCACATCAATAGAGAAAACAAAAGTCCACTGCAAGGTATTATGGTGTCCCAAGCTGTGGAATACAAATCCATCCTATGGTTTGCATATATATACGATAAATCAAGATACCGTGCTGAACTTTGACCTCTGTAAAGATCATAAGCATGAGGCAGAATTCGAACAATGGTTGCTCCTACATAAAAAGATGATGCGAGAACCTTTCCTTCTGAGTTAAAGAATACGTTGAATAGTATCTGGGGAAGAAGAAAACCGTCTAGGAACAGACCGGCCAAAGATTTGAGATCCTCCCAGAGGGAAGGGGGCCTGAAAAATGGTTGTCCATGGGATCGGTGACGCGATAGTCGAAATGGCCTGAATTTTTTCAGCTGGGAATTCTTCCATCTGTTCAACAGCCAAGCTGTCAATCCACCAGCAAGATACAGTGGTAGAATTACACAAAGGACCTTTCTCTCAGAAACCCAACAACCCGGCTGGCTTATTTCACCCTTTCTTGAGGACCAAGTCAACTGGAGAAGACGCAACTCCAGAAGGAAAGCTACCATTGTTACCATCCTTATAACTACTTCATTCACTTCAAGCCAACCTCCACTTCCAAGAAAAACATTCTGTTGGCTGTGGTTTCCCATGATTAAGGCCTCAAAGTTCAACAGCAATGGTATCATGTGTCCCAGAGTAAGAAGGATAAGCATCACAATGCTTATGTAAGGTAGCGCATCTGGATGCTTTTTCACGTAAAGGAGTTGAATTCCTACAAATACACAAGCAAGTGTGTTCGAAATCAATAACAAAATGATTTCAAGATCCATTCTCCAAATGGATGCTTCCGCTTGATTGGTGTAAATGGAAAACGAGGACAACCGAAGGGGCTCAAAATAATAAGGATCAGATTTATCTCTTTTGCTTTTAACAGTTCCTTTGATATATTCACTAACCTTCGCATTCAACGGAGGAAACTGGACATTAATCAAAAGTTCACAATCCAATGATTCATTCTTCATCAGTTGCTTGTCCGTCGATCTCAGATTCCGGCATCCTATCATACACAGAAGTCCTATATTACTATTGTATATTCCTTCAGCAAAAATAACAACTTCTCTGGCCGAAGCACCCCCACTATCAAACTTAAAATTAGCTGATGGCTTGAAGCTCATCGTGTAGCTGATATTCAACAAATTACTATGGTTGTCTAATTGAGCTATATGTACTTTTTGGTTGGCCCTTGTCAACATAAGTGAACCCCCATAAAATCTACTGTCAAAAATCTGTTCACTAACAGAGAGTGGTGATGAGTAACCTTGTGCCACTTGTCCTTTGCTGTTTCTCACTGACATGCTGAATCTCATATCAGAAGAATTTCCATCTGGATACATCTTTCCCTTCCCTCTAGCGGCCTTGTCTTCTGTACAAAATTTTCTTACTGTATCAATTTCAGTGTATTTATACTGGAAATCAAGGGGAAGTCTTTGAACAATTAAGGAACTCTGAAATTCAATTTTACTTAGTTGGCCAGATTCATCAACCGCTTTATTGCTCCAAATTTGGCCCAAAATAGTACTTCTGTTTCTTAAAGACAAAACTGAAGGGAATCTCAGTGTAAGCTTAATTGAGCAATCTCCCACATAAGCATTATTGAGTGATTCTGAGAAGTTCAAGATTCGACATGCAACTGCACAAAGTCTGTGCCTTTTCTCATCCCACGTTCCCTCAGATACTAGTGTTGAAGTAGGATTAAATGGAAACATTGTATCTTGATAACTGGGATCAGGAAAACTCAGTAAAATCTGAACTTTTTGCCTTTCTGCACATCGAATGCCATAAAAATACATAAACTCGGGTAAATATCCAGCATTTGCACCAAGAGGATTGCAATCATCACCGTGACAGTTACTTTCATATTTCAGTTCGAATAAATCTGTGCGTTTATTAAAAACGGTACAGGCACCTTGACTGAAGTTGTTGAGCGGTATGCTTTCACCATCTGCTTCAGCTAAACAACCAACATCATTGTCTTTCCCCCCAATACTGTACTCGTAATTTGAACTCTGAGACAAAGCAATTATTGAGATAGGCTCGAAGGAAAGCAAGTTACTCAGGCCATCAACGCTTTCAAGTGTCCCATTAATGAAACTGCTGAAAATGCTCGATACCAGCGGGTAATTAAGCTTCAGAATAACATTTCTTACTTTACCATTAACATGCGAATCCGTTCCGACCATACAAAGCTTCCCAGAAGATTCAGACCACAATCCATGCAGCGCAAAGTCTATACCTGCTCTCCAATGCGTTATTCTGGGGCGCCGGTAAGCTTGTCCTCGCAAGCTGCGGAAACGGTTCTGTAATGGCTGCATTTCTCGGTTCCGGAGATGCAACTGCGCTTGCACTTCATATACGCCATCCTTCCCCGTTTCGTGAACAGACTGAACCACAAACCACGTATGCTTACCGGCAGAATGTGAGGTCTTATTAAAAAGTCGATCGCCGCCAGAAAAGTACCCATATCGAAATCGAAGCAACTTAGCAATGCCAGGAACATCGCCAGTGTGAGGCCGCAACGCAGTAATGGGGACGATTTGATTGCAGAGACGAGCATATGTACTTTCAAAATTCGAATCTGAGAATGTGGAGGCCACAGAGCAAAAGCTGCATAGGAAGAAGAAAACGAAGAAGATGTTTAACGGAGATTTAAGGGAGTTTGAAGGGTTCACGAGAAACAATGGCCAGAGAAGGGCAGCAGTAGATCTCAGAAATGGAGAAGGAAGTGAATCGGACTCCATAGACGAAACTGATGAAGCTGCGTCAAATCACACAGGTGATATCGAATTTTCTAGGGTTTGCATAATTGCATTGAGATCGAAGCCTGAAGAATCCTCGCGTCTAACGCGAAGCGTATTTGTCAATTGCAGAATCTTGAAAGAGAATGGCTCGCTCGCGTCATAGTATAATGATACTTATTCATCCGCGGGCTGTGGCTGGTGGTTTGATATTAGTATTCCTTTTCTTATAAAGCAAATGAAAACTTTTTTTTCGGTAGTTAAAAAAAAAAAAAAAGTTTATTTCTCTTCCTTTCTCTTGCATCATGTTCTTTTAATTCTGATTTTAGACCTAAGATTTTTTTCTTAATCTAATCGAAGTTACCTCTGTCTTTATTATAAAATACTTTCAACTATTTTGTCAGAATTAAAAAAATTATTTAAATTATTAAATTTTATATGCCATTGGGCTAGGCTTATTTGGTTTGGTGGTCATCTTGAGTAAAAAATGAAGAAATCTTTGTTAAGCAGAATTGAGGATTGGTGTGCTACATGGTCAATGAATACTAACCTTTCTAATATGATCAAATGTAGAATAGTCACTACTTGTTAGTATATTTGAAAAATTTGTTGCAGGTTTGCTTTAGAAGGTAAAAATGTTGACGTTGTTGAAGTGAAATTTCTAGTTGACAGCTTCTGTGTGTGAATTTAATGACATGTAGAATTCTATTTTTGTGGTTAAGACTGATTAGAGTAAGAAAATTAAAATGCCTTGGCATTTTCCTAATAAAGATGAGATTAAATTGAATTGTGATAGGGCTTTTGACTAGGAAAAAAGTTGTTGTGGTATTTAGATTGTTGGGAGGGATGAGTTGAAAAATTATGAATGGTGTAAGTGAGAAAATGATAGGCTCTTTAATTTTGATGATTGAAGTTGTAGCTTTGAAGAGTGTCTTATTGCTAGCTAAAGAGATTTAGAAATCAAAGACTTCATAGAGAGGCACTGTGAGGTTTTACATAAAGATGTTTTTAAGGGTGTGACTGTTACTTGTGATTGAAAAATAATTTGTATTATCAATGATATTTGTTTCTTACGCCCTTTTATGAAGAATTGTTATTTATCTCTTGTTTGCAAGAATGTTAATGTTAAGAAAAAGATGGAACTAGCTAATTTGGTGTTAACCTTCCTCTGTTTTGGCTTGAATTTTGCTTTTTGATAAGATTAAAGTATTGAATTTTGATGTTGCTAGTAGAGGTTATTTTTTTGTAAAGAAAAATATTGATTGATGTTTAGTTTATTGTTTCTTTTTTGGGTTGGATATTTTAGTTTATTTGAATTGTTTTTACCTTTTGTTGAACTGGTTATTGCTCTTTTCCTTTTTAAAGTGCTTTGGTATGTTCGGTTGTATTGGTAGGTTTTTTGTTTTTAGTGTTTTTTTTCCCTTCGGATTTTAGTGTGTAATTTGATTTTTTGTGATTAATAAAATTGGATCTTTTCTAGCCAAAAAAAAAAAAGGTCATTGCATTTGTCTAAACAAAGAATACGTTTTTAATGTTACCCTATCTAAATAAAAAAAAATTCAAATTTGTTTTATATTTTCTCTCATAATAAATAATTTTAAATAGGAATAATTATTAAAAATTTAATTAATACATCACTAAGTGTCATATGTTAAAGACTTAATCTTTTTTAGAAAGTATCTTATAAAGACTGGAGGGAGTATTTCATTATAAAAAAGAAACTCCTTATATGAAAAAGAAAATTGGAATAAGTTATTTAACTTCTTGCTTTTGAAACACTTTTTTTTGGCAAAAAAAAACTAAAAAAAAAAACAACACTTTCTTCTTGACATAGAAATCAGAAACTCCATAGATGTTAATGGTTTTATAGTCTGGTATCATGTAAGCCTTTTAACCTCGTAATTTCAAATCACTAATCTTTGGTTCCTGCACTCTAATTTTTTTTTTCAAAGAAAAAAGAAGACAAACAGATCTCTTGCTTGGTTAGATTTCTTTCCAACCCAATGGATGTGGCACATATAATAGCGGTCTGAGCCCTTTAAATATTATTTCAGAGTTTGATTACTTGAAGTGTGTATGAAAAGACATTACTTGGGAGAGAATAATATTTTAAATGGAGCTCAGATTCCTCAAAAGATTAATCTCACAACTGTTAACTGTGAGAATACCATAGGCAACAAAACAAAAAAAGAAAGAAGAAGAAGAAAGTTTTCTTTCTCACGGCGTAGAGCTTCCCTGGTGAATTCATTTCATATTTTTCTTTTTCTTTATCTTCTTTTGGTAGCATAATGTCGTCTCAGATTATAAATGTAGATCTATTATTTGAAGCAACAAACACACGTAGGTTCCAATGTGTCATGAAACAATAGGTTTTTCGTCTACAAAAGAACTTTAATTTTTAGCTTACATGCTTCACATTCAATCTAATTAGTTTTCATTCTCATTATTTCCTGCAAATTTTTAGAGAGGTCGATACAAAATTTGTAAAATTCATCTCTCAAGTGAAGTTTTTAAATTATATATTCATCTCTCTTTAAAATTGACCAAAACAAATCAAGATGGTCCATTGAAGTTTATAACGACAAGCAATTTCAATCAACAATGGTCCGTCTAAAATATTTTAGACTACAGTGACAGGAAACAAATATTTTGTTTTTTTAAAAAAATCAAAGATTTTGTAATCAATTTAAAAAACAATACAATTATTACCTTGAACTGCTAACTCCAAATTTGTCAGTTACAGGAAACAAATATTAAAGTCATAAAACTTCGATACCAGGTTATCAAACAAATGACACACCAAGCAAACCACTCCTATTATTCTGCTTCAAACTTGATATTTTACATATAAATTTTGAAAGCCATAGTACTGATACACACACACAAGGTTTTATTGACACAACATCAAACAACAAAGAACAGAACAGTTGTGTTTGAACAAGCATACATAGGATATCATACAAAAGATACAAGACCGCTTATTTATATCACACATACGGTTCGAATGTTTTGGTCGGGAAGCTTGGTGGTCATTTGCAGCTTGGCACTTGGAAGGGTTTTCTCTGCCATACCAGAAAGCCTTCTAAAAGACAGAAAGAGATAGGAGAGGTGGGACCCACATGGGTGAGTCCTATTGAACTCAGTTTTTCTTTCTTCATCTCACACATCTATGGAAGAGAATCCATGATGGTTACTTCTGCAACTGAACGAACTGGCTGCAATCAATTCCTTTACCGGAAAAAGCCTCGATAAGCTTGGGGAGGAGCTTAGCGAGCATGATTCTAAAACCTGTAGAAGTTCCCTTCTGATTTTGGTGCATGGTTTTAACACTTTCGAAAGCACATCCAATCGGAGCTCCTTCGCTATACGCCTTACAAGCGAGAAGTATGTGTTGTGCACGTTGGCCGAAGTGCTCTTCCACAAGTGCCTCAAAATGCTGCAACAGGCATCATTGTTAGTGACAACTCAAAACTGAAGCATCTCTTGTCATTTTTCAAACTGCTATATGATTAAACTATTATATAGGGCCTGAGGATTTATTACCAAGTCAACATTTTTACTGACCAGCACTTCATATAATACAAGATTTCAAGGGAAGTAACATGTCTTTTCTATTTCCATCATCATAATGATCCTCTATGAGAAATTACAGATTCCATGTGAACATCAACATTATTCCAAGCTATGGATGCAGCAGTGTCCACTTTATTTTTGATTTTTTAGTTCCCACCAGTATGGAAACACATGTTTCATGTTGCACAAGAACTAACATTCAACATGTGAGCAATAGGCCAAGTGACTATTAATCTTTGTCTACTCTTCCTATCTCAATACTGACAATAGAGGAAAACTTTTGTAAAGAAGCAGTCATTTCACCTTGGGTGGTTTTCTCAGTAGATATAGCATTGATTTACAGGTGACAAGGAAAGCATTTTCATTATAGCTCACTGAATTCTTCTCTCCCTCGGCTCTGCCAATCTGCTGGTCATATCCAGCCTCATTGAAATAAGGCTTTTCATTAAGGACAAGGGCCTGCAGAGAGAGAAGGACTTGAAGAATTGTGGAGGCCCCCGGGTTCCACATTTCGCTGCCTGTACCGGTCCATGTATTCAGGAGGCTCAGACAGACTTTCCCTGATTCATACAAATTAGGGTTTAATCTGAGCCCACCCGAATTGTAGTGCACCATCTGCATGTGATTTCAAATGTCAGCAAGAGTTTATTGAGATATAAACCATACAACTTTATGTTAAATGCTATGCACAAGAGCAGCAAAAAGCATGGAGAAAATTGAATGTTCATTTCAACTAAATAGACTAAGCAAGATTGAGGAGTGCTAAATAGAAGGCCTACAATGCATCAAATCATGAATGAAAAGAATTGAACAAGCACCACAAAATTGAGTTCAAAATCTTACAGGAGGTTCATTAGGATACTCAGGAGGAAAACAAACATCAAAGAAGAATAAGCCATCATGATAAGGAGTTCCTGGTGCACCAACGACCACTGCTTGTAGGAGATCCATTCTTTCTTCAAACACACGGACATATATAGTTTCTGTTCAGACCAATAAAGGTCATATAAGTGCATTTACAGAAATTAATTTACACCATAAAAGCATTGGCAGAAATTTACAGAATAATTAGAAATTTTAACAAGCAAATCAACACATTAATTTTCAGGCTTTCTTTTCATTTTTTATCTTCAATGACCAACAAAGGTCAGATAGTGTTGATTAAATTTATGGATTCCAACTCTTGAAAAATGGCATTCCAATACTTTTCTTGTTTATCTTTACACCGACCATCATTTTAGTCTTAACTTTGCTGTTATCTACTGATCATAAGAATCAAATAATAAAAGATGCCATGTTCCCCCCCCCCCAATTCAAAACAGTCTTCTTTCCAGAGATTAGCAAGCAGTGGTTCCCATGCAGCTGTATGGAAACCGGTGCCGGATGCTCAAATTTAAAAAAGAAGAACCGGAAAACAAAAAAAATGAAACACGCAACCTGGAATCGAATTACATTACTCATGAATTATGAATAACACAGGCCCCCATGCAGCTAAAAGAAATGATAAGCACTATCAATCCATATTCATAAGGTGACAGAGACCTACAATAGCAGTGGTCCAATTGAATTTGCACCTAAAGTTTCAATTTGATTGAACAACAAAAATCTGCAAGGCAAATGCAACAATGTAGTTCAAGCACAATAAGGAAAATTGCACACCTGGAAGATTTCTCTCTAGGATGCTCCATTCTTGCTGAATCCTTTTCACCCACCCTCTTTTTACCTATGAAAGAAAACAAGGAGAGGAAAACAAATTAACCTCAATGTTTTCAGTGCCAATGTAAAACTTTAAATAATAAAGAGTGAAGTACTAACCTGAGACGATGTCAACCCTTTTCGCTCATCAAAGAAGTGGTGGTCTGAGCAATTATCTATTATATCAAACTGCTTAAACCGATTTGAATTGTTGCTATTAGTAGAAAATAGAAGATCTTTCCTCTCTGAAAACCTAATAACATCCCTATCTGCAATTATGTCTTCAGTAGACTGCAATTCACTCATTGGATTTGCTTCAGTGCAGAGTTCACAAGTTTCTGAAACTTCTTTCTTATCAAGATTTTTAGATTGATTTCCCTCCTCAGTTGTAGGGACTAAAGAAACTGCTCGTGAAAGTGATGTTACACCAAATGTTTGAAAAATGCTGGCCTTAATGCTGGAGAAAATTTCAATGGCAGCTCGGGGAAGGGAAAAGGTACTACATTCCCCTGGATGCCTTTCACAATGCACTCTATCACCGGCCAAATCTAACAAGCCCTGATCATCAAAGTAACAATCAGCTTGTGATTAGATAATTTCAATTGATAAGCCCCTAGTTTTCAAGGATTTATCAACTAGAAAACTTTTCACACTTTAACTAATTTTTGTGAACATTGATGACTATTTTTTAAAAATGAGTTTGATTTCTTGTAATTTTACTGGCTACTAATAACTAGATTTTTTTTCTGAGATCTATGTATTTCAAGTTAATTGATACTACGCATTTTAAATTATTATACGAGAATTCACATGATACATTTGTGGATGAACAGAAAGATGCAGACACCAATACACAGAAAATGGGTTCACCTTTCCCTTTCTGTCAGAAGTTAGATTTCCAATTTCCGACATCTCTTGAGTCAACTCCTCAATATCTGCTTCATAAGGAACAGGAGTTTCAGTTGAACCTTCATGCTTGTCAATTCGAAAAATTTCATGAGGTGCAACCTGTGGGGAAAAAAATCACATATGATTGAGGACTTCCTGAATTTGAAAATCAACAAATTAACACAGAGATCAGAACAAAAAAAAAAAAACAGATTTTTCCAGATTATTCTTGAACGGCCGATGCCAGCATCCAAATAAATTATTGTAGATGCCAGATGTGATTGTCTGGACCGTCAAATATATCAGGTGCAGTACAACTTAAATGGTTGTATATTATTTTGACTGTTACTACCAAAATGCAGATTGTCACTATGAATAGATGCAATGCTCTATTACACCCCAGGGCAATGGAAAAGAATATACGAATTAGAAGCTACAAGTCAACCCAGGTTTCACTTTAAAAGATTAAATATGTCTTCAAAGAGAATGAGGAGTATCACAAAGCTTATAGGAAGACCTAGAGAGAATATCTGTCATGAGTTCTTCATGACCATATATAGCAAGCAGCAATCATTAACAACATATTGAGCACAGAAATAAGATGTCATCCATACCTTGGTTGCTAAACCAGTAGCCCATTTCACCTCTACAAAACCATCTTTGAAACCAATAACATTGCCAATACAGGACAGGTAACAGTCATCAGGGAACTCATTCTGATAACTGATGTGGCTCCTGTCTATAAGAGCAGCCTCCACATTCAAGTCAGTTGTTGACTTTGCTTGATCTTTCTCAGCTTGGTAACCAAGCTGCTTTTGAGCCGCCTTGAATACAATATCACCAAAACAATAGGAGTAGTCTGGATGCTCTATGATTTCATAGGCACTCACAGTTTCCTCCATCCTATCTCCAGCCAAATTCTCTGGCTCAGATATGGAAACAGTATTCCATTGTACCTTTATAGTACGCTCTTTTGCATTCATAAATTGAACAACTCCCCACCTTTGACTGCTGGGCTTAGGATGATCATCAGCAGTACCTTTTTCCAGCACAAACTGCTGAGGCCAGAATTCATGAGTGTCTATGACATTCACCGGGAGTAAAGTATGGGGATCTGATCCCAAAGTGTGCTCACCATCCTGCCATACAACATCAACTTTGGTCCTTATTTTCCCAATTACAAAAAGTTCCCCAATATTGAAGTTAATGTTTCCATTTTTATATCCTCCTGCCATAATGTGCTCCTTAGTAAGACCCCAAGTAGAAGTGTTTCTGAAGTTCTGTTCCATCTGTTCCTTAGGGTCTGCCACTGTAAGCATGCACCAGTCACCAAGCTGCCAGTTTGCATGTGAAAAACATGACAGCAAGGTCAAGTTTTTGGAATCTTGCCAGCATGGGGGTGCATTTACAGTAAAATCAGGACCCATGGGAACAAATGCAAGCCAGTTAACATATACTAAATCTGCTTCAACAGAACAAACGGTTCCTTCATCTTGACTGTCTCTCCAAGTTCCACATAACCACCTAGCTGACTTAGAAGAAGTTGAGGAACTAATCCTTACTCTCTGCCCTGGATAGTATGGGTACTGCAAGTCTTCAAGTAAATTACGAGTCAGAGGCAAGATCTTATCTTTCTCCAACATGGTGACCTCACATTTAGCTCCATCATCAAATAACACAGTTACTTTGTCCACCACCTGTTGAACTCTTCCAAGCCATGGCCCCTTAATCACATGATCACCTTCTGAAATGGAGCGAATTTTTAGAAGCCTCTTGGAGTTTACATTTTTTAATAGTTTTCCACACACACTTTCCAAATCCACAAACACATCAACGCCTGTAATCCTGCCCATCTGTCCAGATGGGTCAGACAAGGAGCAAACCACATCCCCATGAACAAACGCCCTCTCAAATGAGAGGAAATCATCAATTCTCCCAATGCTTTCCTCTAAACTGGATAGTATGCTCCGAGCTTGCCCAGCATATAGAAAATCAATTTCCTCTTGATCCTCAATGCTGCTGCTCTCACTGAAAGTCTCCCAGTCTGAATCCGCAATGTGCATATCCATCTATGATAAGCCTGTCTTAATCTATGCGTATTAAAATTACTTCAATAATTACAAGAAAGTAATAAGGATGAATAGAGTTTAAGTTCATAGACAGGTATCCTCACCAAATTTTGGATAGATGAAATTGGAATTTAGGCCTAATATTTACCGAGTAATGTCTTCAGAATCAAGCATGAAACTAACACTGCATAGCTTTTTTAGTTATTGGAAAGATATGTGTTTTTAAAAGAACATTGACAATCAGATTTCCTTATTTAGGGAAACCTTTAGCCACTTGGAGGAACTTGTTTGAACAACAAAATTTCAACAAGTTGACGATAGAGCAATAGCAATCTAGAAATAAGATACAAGAAATCTCTTACCTCAAACAAATTAGAGCACTAAAACCCAGTGCCAAACTGTGTTTCCATCAACAGTAGGTATTTTGATATTGATCGCAAAGGATAGTAGTCTACAGCACAAAAAATTTCCAATTGATGCTGCTTTTGCCACAAACTGTAATGTAGTTTCTCCAAAAAGATTATGTGAACCACCTAAAACTGGAGATCTGATGCCAAAGGAGATTTGCCCATTAGGGTCAATAAATGCGAGTCAATCCAGGACTCATAAATGCCAAAGGAGATTTGCCCAATTGAAATGGACTTTCCAGAGGAAGAAATTATCAAGTGAGGCTTCCAACACCAGAAGGACCAAGGACCTACAACCTTCAGATATCTCTTTCTTTTTTTGGGGTGGGGATTTTTTAAGAAAGGAATTCAAGAGGCTGGAGATAGCAAACTGGGTAACCAAATATGCCAAAGGAGATTTGCCCTAGAGATAGGGAGGAGGACTGAGAGGTACTACCTCGCTATGGTAATATTTTGAAGGAAATGACAATTTATATATATATATATAGAGTTACTACCAGAAATCTAACAAACGTAGAAGGAGTAACTTTTGCCAAAGGAGATTTGCCCGATACAGCTGAATCTTCAGACACAAATAAGAGCTGGATAGGTAAGAAATTTGTCTCTTCCAAGAATGGATGTTAAACAGCCAAAGGAGATTTGCACCATGATGAAGCCAAACACTTTACTCTATCTGCTACCAACGGAGACCAATTAACACCAACAATCAACAGAACTACAGAGTTGAAACCAGGAACGCTTAGCTATTTCACAGAAAAACCAATCAAACTTAAAATCTTCTGCAATTGATTCCCAGCAAGAGGGCATTTACCAGATGACCTGTCCAAAAGAACTCTATGAAAGCTCATTGCCATTGCCAAAAGTGCAAGGCTCCTGTTACCATATCATTTCTTTCAAACCTGCAAAAACATGATTGGTGTGTATTCCCTTCAACTTATTTATTGTGAAAGAAAATGGAAACAATCAAAGAATATACAAATATAGAATCCCAATTCAGGAAGAAAGAGAAGAGCTGGGGGTGAGAAAAATTGGTTTGCAAATTTGACAATTTTTAACAGTACATCAAAGACACAGCTAAATAATATTAGAAATTACAAAAGTTAACTAAATAATTATCTTAAAGTTCCTTTCATCTTTGAGTCTTGACAAGCACACAGTTAGAAAAAAATACAAATACATGCATACTTATCTGCTGATTCAGTAGAAAATCTATTTATCACCCAGCATAAAGTCACTTTATGAGGAAGCCATTGCACCAAACTCAAAAGATTTTTGTACAACAAACACCCAAAAAAAAAAAAAAGACTTCTGTACAACAAATGAGGGAATGACAAAAATGAATCGTGATCCATCGCCTCTCTTTTTATTCGGTTCATGGAATTGACCAAAAGAAAAGAAAAATAAAAAAGAAGATGAAGGATATAAACCATTCATAATTTCTTTCAACCAAATTCATGCCTTTATGCTAGTCTTTGATGAATTAAAACAAGCGCCCCTATGAATGATTTTTGGCTTATATTCAACCTACGGGAATCATACGAATAAACTTATAACATCACTGAAGAATAAGGAAATCAACAGTATCTATCCGCCATGATCAAATACCAGAATCCTGTATAGAAATTAGTTCACACAGAACTTTTGGAGAGCAATTCTGTGGAGAGTTCTGCAACTAAAAAGATTGAGCTCTCTCACTAGAAGGTCAGACTGAGACTCTTAAAATGCATGATGGAAGAGGGGAAAAAACACTCTCTTTTTGAAAGGTGGAGTCTTCATAAAGTAACCCAAACTTAAAACCACTAATCCTAAGCCCCCCAAAAAATGAGTAAATCCAACCAAAGGACAGTGATATTGCAGAGTAAGGGACTTTACCATTTTTGCCTTTGAACTGATTAGACCCGTATAAGCCGTCAAACTAATACACCCAAGAAACCCCATCATTCCAAAACCAAAGAAAAGTGAACCCAAATCTTTCTTCCAGCTTTCCAAAATGATCTTGCGCACTTCTGCTCTGTATCTACAATTTTCACGTCTGATTGGAAGATTGGAAAGGTGGGTGTTCTTCAGATAGGCCTATTTCCACGCCCAGTCCCACCATCCTCCACGCCATCACCGAACTTCCAGACCATTGCAAGGAAACGCAACGAACCTTCTACCTCTCTCTCTGGGATTGTGAAAGCTTTAATATTTCGAACTTAGCGAATGGGGCCTTGATTCACACATATAGGCATAGCAGGGGATTATTGGAACCAAAATGGGAAAGAATATTCCGAACAGTATGGGACACAAAAGCTTGTCGCTGTACAACTAGAGACAGTTAAAATTTGTTGACATTTGTACCCTGAAGCCGCTAAATCTCTCTTTTTGTTCCTTCGTTTTGTCTGTCTCCTCTCCTTTCCCTTTCTGATAATGATAGTATTTTTTAACAAACGAGTTCAACAATTAAAGAAACGTACTCTCTGGTTCCAACCTAAGAGAATGTCTTTGGTCATTAACGTACTCTCATGTCGACATTTAATTAATTGACAAAGTAATTATTTAAAATTAATGCTTCTTTATTTCATTTTTATAAGATAAAATTTTCTAAAGTACACCATTAAAATAATTTTAACCAATTTATATCTTAAAATGTTTTTATCTTTTTACTTCTTCCGCCCTCAACTAATACTTATAATTGTTTTAAATTTACAACAAGATATTAAATCATGTATATTTGTGAAAACAAAAAATTACATTGTTATGAAAAAAATTTTATAATTTACAATGCTTATACTTTTTTTTTGGATGAAATGTAATGCTTACACTTTGCTCGAACATAACTGAATGAACTATTCTAGTTTATATAATTAATGTTATCAATCAGACCAGATATTAATTTATTTTAATATTGGAAAAGAAAACCTGATTTTAAGATATCATTGTGGCTTAATCAAATCAAAACTTAGACACTTGGCAAGCTATATCATTGAGATATAATAGAACTAAAGCTTAAAAAATAAAAAAAAAAACTTAGGCAATGTATAATTAGCTGCACAAGTGCAGAAACAACGTAAATATTTTTCAAAAAATAGTTAAAAGTTTACTAGTCCTTTGAGCTTTTCTTTTAATATTTTATCAATTTTTAAAGAGACATATCTCACTGTCACCCAAGTGATGAGTTTCTTTGAATAAATGTGATCCACTTGAATAATTAATCTTATATACTCTGTGCCAAAATCTCTTTATAAGCTTTAGTAACAAAAGCACCAAGCTTTGATGCCATTTAGCAAGTTCATGTGAAGGTTATTCTCTTGAATATCCTTATGCAATTTTTCTATTGCCATATACCAAAGAATATGCTACTAGGTGCTTCAAAAGCGTCCTGCTTATTGGGATGATTTCACTAGCAAACTTTGCCATTAGCATAATGTAAAGACACATGTGCCAGTCTTTCTTTTGTTTATTTATTTATTTTGTTGTATCAAAAGAGTTTGAGATTTCTACTCACACCTTATCCCAAATTGCTCGCGTAAACTAGCCTCAGATGATAAAAGTTGGAAGCTGAATTTCAAACCATTTGCTTTAAGAACGGAAACCTCTATCACTCACGCCAACTAATATAATTAGTAAGCAGATACTACACAGTATAACTAGAATTTTCTTGCATAAATATAACAAACAGATCACAGAGAGAAAGAGAGAGGGGTTAAGGACCTAATCAGTTTGATTCCACGTATAGTTGGGTATGAACTAAACCAAGAGGACCAGACCAGAAGTACTTGTTTTTTGTAGTTGCCAAAGTTTATTATAAATGTGACTAACCCAACAGCACTGAGACAGCGAACACGCTCATCCAATTGGAAAAAGTAAAGGGTGAGAACAGTCCACTCACTGAAAATGACCATTTCCTAACAACTTTTTTCACTTCCTTTGACAATAAGGAGTTTTTAAATCTTTTCTCTGTTCTTTTTGTTGCTGTTGAGTAGATTGCTGAACTGGGAGTTTCTTTTTGTACTTTGTTGGCTTTGATTTCCTTCCCAGATTCCATTGACCGACCTTTCATGATTGCCAGCGGACCAGTTAAATTAGCATGTAAAAGCACCACTTGGTTGGAATGTTTTGAGAGTTTTATTGTTACCACATTACTCAGTTGATCATGCAGAATTTTTATCTATTCAAGTCTTCTACGTTTCTAAGTTACAAACATTTGAATATTTTTTATATATTCCATTATTATATATTGGGCCAGATTCGACCATTGTCAAGTCTGATTAGGAGTAGGTCTTCAATGTAATTTTTTCATCTACAAGTTTGGAACATTCAACCTTACTTAAAGGAAATCAAGTCCCTTGCACTTGACTCGAACACCATTGGTATGAATATTGAATATTATGCCACATGTTATTAGTCCTTGATGCACATTAAGAATCAAACTATGCTATTCATCTAGCTGTTTGGAATGAATGCAAAATTAATACTATCAATATGTAAATTTTTCCAAATTTTTTGGCTTCATTAGTTAAAAAAAAAAAAAGTTTCAAGTTTCAGAATTTTGTCTTCTTCAAAAGCTAATACTCCTGAAAGGACTAAGGTGGGGCAAATATCAGAATTTCTCAAGCAGTGAGGGCCATAGTATCCAAACATGGCACAGCTGCATTATGCAGATTGGTGACTAGAAATAGCAATTTTCATCTGTTCCACTTTTTATCTTTTATCTTTTATTTTTTTTATATCAATATGTTCTCTAGGCCAAAAAGATAAATTCTCTTACAATATATAATACTCACAAGGAACTGAATTCTAAATCTGTGTGGCTGATTGTCATTACCTGTCAACTTTGTTATTAATGAAGCTTTAAAATATTTACATAGTGGATTCTTTGTCCTTTTCAAACAACTACACCTGATCTGCATCAGGGCTGGAAATGGTTACAATTCATTCAGGGCTTAATATCTATCTTTTCTATAAAATTCTTCTGCAAATAGTTCCTATTCATTCATCTTTGAAACAACTAATGTTTGGCTCGTTTTCTTGGTTTAGAATATTCGTTCAAGCTTCTTATTCATGCCATTCAAATTTACAAAAACGTGTTCTTATATATCAGAACAAATATAAAACTTAATGAGGGACCAACATGTTATAAGTCATACATCGGAGAGCCTCACAATTAAAGTGAAGATTATAAATTCAAAAAGCTTTCTCACATAATAAGCTAATTTTTTGAAATGAACTCTCTCTTTAAACTTGTATGTATAATATTGATAATTTCATTAAGAAGTCGGTGTGTCACACCGAGGGCTAACCTTAATGAGAAATATGAAGAACCTCATGGAAGATTTCTTATATCACTGACAAATTCCGTTTAAATCACCTTTAGTGTCTATGAAGAAATACATTCAGTTATTCATAGACTTGCCTCTGCAACTTTTTTCATTTTTTATTTACTCTCACGGGGAGGCAGCAGTGCGCAGAAGATTGGAAAATATATATACATATATAAACACAAATATATGATGTCAAACTCGAAGGAAGATTGTGAAAGCTCCAAACTTGGTGGACTATAAACAACAGTGCGAGCCATTATATTTATAATGATTTAAATATTTTCTGAAATGGAAGTGTACGTGTCTCTCTCTTGTCTCTCTCTGTTTGTGCGTCTCAGTGTGATTGCGAAGTGATATATTGTTGGAATTGTTAGTGAAGATAGAAATCATGTCATACAAGGGCTAGGTTTGATCGTGATGTTATCAAAGATACATCTCGTATATATCCTGAAAGGAATAGGTTTGAATCTTGCTGTTATGTAAATATTTCTGTAAACACCTTTAAAATTGTATGGTATGATCTTGAAATACAACTTACTTAAAAAAAAAAAATTTACTGATGAAATGAGAAAATTATGAGAGTATGCTATTAATTGGATGAAGGTGGAGTTGTTAAGTGTTGAATCTATACACATTGAATTGGACCAAGGAGATGCATTCGAGTAGTGGCAACGCCACTGTATTCATTTTTCAAAAGTGCTTTATTCGCACGTTTCAAAAATCCTCTTATTCTGATTCTTTCTAGTTGCAGAAAACATTACCTAAAAGTGCCTCTCAAATCATGTTTCTTAATTCTGCCTTCTTTGTTTTTTTTATAACAGTTTTACTTAATTTTAAATTAGGTCCCTGTAATTTATTTTATTTTAACTGAACTTTTACAGTTTAATCAATTAAATTTTGTAATCCTTTAATGTTTAAGTCCTTCAATTTTTCCTTAAAAAAACAAAAATTAATAACTTTTATATTTTTATTAAATGATTATATGACTTTGAAATTAATTACATAATTTTTATAACTCAGAATTTCTATAATTAGGTTATCTTCTAAATATTTTTTATACATCTAGAATTTTCAAAAGAAACTAATAAAAATATAAATAGTGTATTAAACCAAATTTTTTTAATTTTTCCTAAAATATTAAATTAAAATTTCTGTAAAATCCAAGAGTATTTTTGTTTTGTGAAAGTTAACAATTCATTATTAATTTTAATCTTCAGATTTTTAACATATATAATGTATCAAGTTATAAGGACTTGAGTATAAAATAAATTGTAAGAATCTAATTTAAAGTTAAGTAAAATTGTAAGGACTTACAGATATATTTTTCCTTAAAACAAAAACATATATGTCTCCGAGAAGGGCCGTATAGTTTCTGCTTTTTAAAAATATTTTCTATTTTTAAAACGAAAAAAAATATTTGGATAACTGGTTTATATTTAAATATTTTCAAAACCATTTTCTTTTTTTCTTTTTTCAAAAACAAAAAATAAAAAACAATTTGGAACTGTTTTTGTTTTCATGACACGATGAGAAGGCTTTGGTCTTATCTAATTGTCGACTCTGCCTTTCCGAGTTTAGTTTGAGATGAAGCATGCTACCTCCATTTTAAATAGAAGACATTTTTTTGAAAAGTCATTTTCAATTTATAAGAAATTTTACAAAAATTTAATGGTGTGTTTGGATTAATAGGAATTTAAATTTGAATTTAGATCAAATCTCTTGTTTAAATAAACAAAATTTTATGAATCCATCTCTTATTACATTTTTTTTGTAATTTTAAATTCCTCCTATACTCTAATCATTTAAAATTTTAATCATTTTTAAATACGTTGTTCTCTTCATATTTTTATTATTGATGCCTTTATAATTTTTGTATCTTTTCTCATCTCTCATCGATTGTAAATTATTTGTAAATTCATCACTTTCAATCTTTTGTTTTATTTTGAATCTCAACTCATTTTTCTTCTTTATTTAGATTTTTTTTTAAATTGTCTAAAAGAAAATAT